CTACAATCGACTTTATATTTATTAATCAATAACCTTGTAGAAACTATTAATCAGCCCTAAAGTACAATAATCCTCTGATAAATCAAAACAGATAATATAAGTTATATTCACACACACACATATACACACAAGAGAAATATCTGTACCTAGTTTTCTTCTAAAAACAAGTTACTAAAAACATTTTTCTTCTGTAAAACATGTTTACTTTAAATGTTTAATTCTATTTTACATGTAATAACAAGAAAACTATGAATAAAATAAAACTTTCTAGCCAAAATAGGTGTATCGTCGGCTTTGATAATCCCTTTTTTTTAAAGAAAAAAAACTGTATCTGAATGTCAATGAGTGAACTTTTTAGACGCCCATCTATTTAATTCACTTGGTATTGTTTTACTTGAATCTAACCATTGATGTTTAGGACTGCAGTTGATCAGTCTCTTATTGACATATGTGCATACTGCGCATATTGCCTTAATTCACAAGCATTATAAGCAAAGATGGATAGTAGCTAGCAGTGGAATCCAGAACGCGCGTTTTGTCCTATTTCGGATTAGTCAGATGGATGCACCTGCATCTAAGAGTTGATGTTCACTCAGGGACTCAAACCCAGTACCGTTTATTCAAACGCGATCCACTTAGAACGAGGCGTCCTGATAGCCACTCGGTAGCTAAGTGGATAACGCGATGGCGTTTGAAGCTAATGGTACTGCGTTCGAGTCTCAGAGTGGACATCAACTCTGAGATTCAGGTGCATCCAGCTGACGAGTCCCAAATAGGACGAAACGTGCGTACTGGATTCCACTGCTAGCCACTATCCATCCTTGCTTACAGTGCCCATCTATTTGCTTAAAATATTCAAATAAGAAATTTAAAAAAAAATTTCCTTATGAAATTTCTATTTCATTGTAAAATTTTCTTATTAGTAATATTAGAATATAAACAAAAAATTTTCATTTTCAATATTAATATCCCATAAATAAGAACTCTCGTCTAAATTTGATGGAATTGTTTCATAGTATTTGGGCGCAGAGTTAATGTGAGACATTTGTAGTGACCCACTTTTATCAACAGAACGCGATTGGTGTAATGGAAACAATTACTATTATAACCAATTGTACCAGGGATTGTTTTACTGTACTAAAAACACACATTCTTTGTTGCTTGTGACGTTGCACGAACTTACGTTTGCTCAGTAGTTTCACTTGTAATCGTTTGTCACGATCTCGGTATTATTTTGATACCACAAGATCGCCAACAAATATATCTTCCTACAACCTTCAATCGCCTTCTGATTTCTGGTTCACTCTAAGGTTTAGCCTGTCCTGGTAGGCAATCTCCTTATAGTGATGATCATAGTCAACTGTGACTCGACGCCACACTACACATTAAAGAGAAAGAATATATTTTGTAAAATCTCAGCGAAAGAATTTGAAGTAAATCCAACGTTTCGCCTAACAATCTGGTCCAAGCTTTTTTAAGGATTCCCAGGCGAAACGTTGGAGTTACTTCAAATTCTCTCGCTGAGATTTTACAAATACATTCTTCCTCATTAATATAGCATGGTTATATATGATAGACAAATTTTTCACAGTTAATCAATGTATATAGAGTTTAACACTTAAGTTACCGGTTCGTAATTATTAAATAGTTCATTATATTTATTAGTGAATATTATTACATGTATTTAATAAGCTCAAACTGGAACATTTGATTTTTTTATTTAAAGTATCAATTAAATAGGCTGTATAACAACCTCAATAGATGTAATGCAAAAGTAATCAGTGACCAAAGTAGGTTTGCATGTTATTTGATCCCTCAGTATTCTAAAGCTCATGTTAACCACTAGTTTCGAATTTAGGCATAATAAATTTATGAACCGAATCTATTTTGTTATCCATCTCAGTTCCATATATGACTATGCATCTCTTCAATCTCCCTTTAATAAAAGCACTTTTCTAACAGAGGCTATATACACGCGAATGTGTAAGAATATTTGAAGGTGAAACGGGGTTTCTTCACCAATTTATAACACGGTGCTATAGGGCAAATGATAGCTGTTTGGGGTTAAGGCATCATGCAGTCCAGTTGTTTGAGAAGTTATCAATTATAGTCATAAATGAAAGCTAATTAAGGTCTGGCCTTGACTTTTTATTTCATTCTGTAAATAAGTGAGATGAACATTTTTAGCAAAATAAAACCATCTTATTTGTGTTTTTGACTAAAGTGTATTCTTTTAGTATGTTCTGTCTTTATTTATTTATTTACTGAGTAGCTTTAACCATAAATTTAGTTTAACATTCACCGATAAGTCATTAATACTGATTTTATGATAACAAATGACTTCAGTGTAATACACAGGGCTAACTTGAACAACCGATTCCATTTTAAACATCGTTACCTTTGGCATACGTAACAGACGTCTGATTAAATTTGATTGGAAATAGTATAGTTTCCACTACGTGAACTTGTAAAAGTTTTTCGTTCATCGAGGGGGCAACTAACATGAGATTAAAATAAGTAGGAAATTAGCTGTTGTGACGTAGCAAATCAGTTCATCTTTGTTTATAAACACCTTATCTAATTATAATTCGGTTAAAATTACCAAGTTATAGTACTCATATCAGAACTTTATGTTTAGATCAATGTTTTAATTTACATTTTAACTAAGGAAAGTTCTGAAAATCTTTACTAATGAAAATATCTGAGATCGAAAAAACTAAAGCAGCTGTTGAAAACAAGAAATAACGTGACGACTATTTCCTCCTAGTAGTAGACCTCTAGCAGCGCCCTTCTACAACCCCACCGCGATTAAGCCCGAAAACTTCAAACATCACTGAGATAGTTTAACCATTAGATAAGACATAAGAAACTAGGTTTCTGAATTAGGGAGTCATTTAAAGAGATAATGCATTGAAAACATCACTCCTCAAATTGTGAAACCGTTTAAGATAGGGCCATGAAGAACATAAAGATGTTACTAGTGTAGGATCAACCACTGAGATGTACTTCGCATGAAAAGTCTTAATTATAGAACTGTTTATGCTTCCCAAATGGCTATGTAGATGGTCTTTAAAAACAAAACCCCAGCGACTCCGAATGCTTAAGAGACGAGAAATTAGTTACATTCGAAGCAACTATATATATATATATATATATATATATATATATTGATTCTGTGAGCGCATTTGAACCATAAATAAACATGATGAAGTAATAGAAAGATTACGTAGTGTAAACAATAACAACAAAAGAGAGAGTGTGTGTGTGTGTGTATATGTGGAAATAAATAGCCTTACAAACTTAATAAGTCAATAATGGATTGTGATTTGAAGGGAGTGAGATAGTTAAAACGTTTTGTTACACTAATTACAGATATTCGAGGGATTAAATGAAATAAAGTGATGTCAGAAACAATTATGAATAGATTTGTGGGGATATGAGAAACAAATAATAAGGAGTGATAAATACTATCAAATACGAAATCAATGGAACCAAAATGTGATGATAGTTTGAGTAGATTTGTACGTATTCGATAAACAACCTGCAGATAAGTGAAGCGGTTTAGATCTAATTTATTCTAATCACTATAGGTTGGTTTTATGGTTGTTTATAGAATACGTACAAATCTACTCAAACTTTTGCATGCTCAACTACTTAAAACATCAGAAGCTTTTAGCATCCATAAAACGAAACGGGAACTGTGCCTACAAAACAAGTATTCTTATCGTTATCTTCACAGTGGTCTTGAAATATTATCACATTTTGGTTCCATTGATTTCGTATTTGATAGTATTTATCACTCCTTATTATTTGTTTCTCATATCCCCACAAATCTATTCATAATTGTTTCTGACATCACTTTATTTCATTTAATCCCTCGAATATCTGTAATTAGTGTAACAAAACGTTTTAACTATCTCACTCCCTTCAAATTACAATCCATTATTGACTTATTAAGTTTGTAAGGCTATTTATTTCCACATATACACACACACACACTCTCTCTCTCTTTTGTTGTTATTGTTTACACTACGTAATCTTTCTATTACTTCATCATGTTTATTTATGGTTCAAATGCGCTCACAGAATCAATATATATATATATATATATATATATATATATATATATATATATATAAAAGTAAAGTTTGATAATTAATTCTTTGAAAAGAGATCCCTTAGCTGAATTTCGTGTTTCCCTTTCGAATTACGTCTTTTCAGAAATCTATATGCCTTAGTTTTTGTAAAATCTAACTTTGATAAACTCGATTTAAGTATTCATTGTGACGATTAATTACAATAACAGAAATTATCTGAATAAAGAGAGGCAGTTACTTAAATCTAATTTACTAATAATAATTATTTATTGTACAATCAAAATGATTATCTAACCCAGAAACCACTGACACCTTCATTTACTTAAGTTTGATTGATCACTTTTGTGTATTACGGCTGTAAATACTCCTCGGTTTTCTCAACTAAAATAACTAAATAACAATTTAAATATACAACTTAAAATTTGATAACTGAGTATTTTAACTGCTAACTTGATCATCAAGATCTCTACACACAATGTAAGCGTACAAATACACAAATAATTGACCTACTTGAATTCATTACACATATACAAATTATCAATATTTGTCTTTAGAAAAGAATACGTTTATGAAAATGGTCTAGACAAAGAAATAAAGTCTATGCACAAAATGTTTACTATTACACATAAACAAGAAAGTGGTACACTTAGAAATTTTTAAAACAATATTCATTCATATAAATAGAAAAGTATTATGTCAATACTTTTTAGAAGAAATAAACAAAAAGGAAAAAAAAAGAAAAGAAGAAGTATGTTTTCACTAGTTTAGAGATTGTATCATAATTTTATGTATACATTCTCGTATTATTTGTCATTGGAAAAAATATACATTTTACATATATCTTTATAATATTCAAGATATTGTCAATTAATGGTTGAAAGAACCAAATAATATAGATTAATCTCATTCATCCTTTTTAATATTTCCATTTGTATGAATGTCTATGGAATTGTCATCGGTCTAAATTAAAAGAAAGAAAAAAAGAAACAGAAAATAAGTGCGTTAAGAGTAGAAATGTGAAAAATAAACAAAACAAGAAATTACTTCAGTACACAAACATATACAAATTTCTTAAATGATTAATATACACACAATAGTTAATAATCAGTGATTAGTTAACACGAATATTTCAGTCAGTTAAACAGGTTGATTGTTACCCGAATAGCTCAACGGTAACAATTCAGACTCATACTGTGTGATAATAGCTAAAATCCTACGTATCATCCACCTCACAATTATAGATATCCCTTATTAACAAGTACCAGCTAGCATCGAACCTAGGACTAATGTTTTCTGTTGATTCCTATTCAACCATACAACATTGTTGCAAGCAAATAACCTAGGAAAATTAGAAAGTAGAGACTTTTTTCATATGAAATGAACAACTAACGGTTGTGATACAGTTGTTGATACATTTTCATAAAATCACTAGAATTAGTACATCCATTCAATATAAATAATAATTGAAAACTTAATTCGCAATCAATACGAACATTTTTCTATTCATTTAGTAATTATGTTCATGATTTACGTAATAATAAGATTTATTTACAAAAGTAGCTTCAGCATGATTGAGATGTATTGTAACTATCCATTCATAGAAAAAAGCCCACAGCTGAAGCTCCATGTGATACTTCACATGACACTCTTCTCATTAAACATTTAACCTTGGAGATCTGAAAACACTCAAGTTCTAGTGTTTACACCATATAAAACAGCGTAAGAACAATACAACAGTTCCGAAAATTCAGTAGAAATAGACATATGAGCAGAGAGATGAAGACAAGTATTAGTAGGCCGATACTATGTATTCTAAACACATGAGAAGTTAGTTGTTTCACAGGATTATGATGAATTCTAATTTAGAGCACCTTGAAATATTAATCACTGAATTCCAGTCTCTTGAGACCAGAATCCATATAACTTACAATTCCCTTTGTCATTGACGTTAAGCAACGACAATTAGCCTAGCAGTTTACCACTCTCACATTCATCATCACAGTTCAGTTAGCTATAAATGTCTACATCTAATAAAATGGTCTAAAATAAAGCTGTAGCGAAATACTTTTACCGATCGTTACTTAATAACTTCAAAGTTATTTTATTCATTGTTATTAAAGTTATGGAGAGAGTTCGATTTATGCAACAAATAGAAAGCCCTAAACCTAGTAGTTTTATTTCTTAACATAACTTATTCATCGGGTAAAGGTTTATTTATTTAGCTGGATATTACACTTCTTTATGAGCTCTGGTGATTCTACCAATCTCCCTAATACTTGTGTTAAGTGAGAATGGTATCTCTAACCTAACAGTTGTAAACCGAGTTTTGGCTACTAGGTCGTGACTGCACTTGGGACGATTCACACCTGTTCGAAATAATTATGTGAAAATTATATTTGAAATAACCTCAGCAATTGAAATTTAAATAATATATATAATTTTCACATATAACGACTTCTCTATACTCGGCGCCCAATTTTTGTCAAACTATTCGTTCTAATCTTTACGAATATTCGTATAGATGCATGTGTTGTCTCCGACGCATTCAGTCGTTAGTAATAATATTAAATACTACTAATTCATATGAGTACCGATCAGTATTAACCTGCTTTCACTATCCTAACTACTACGTGAAATGTGATGGCTGAGTGATTATCACTACTTTACACACACACACACACACACTGAATCTACGCCAATGAAGTCAATTCGTAAGGATGTTTCAAGCTTCTTACATGTTACATACAATTTGTACAATTCGCATGACTGAAGTGCATCCATTGTAAAGGGAATAAACTTTAAGTATTTGAGAAAACGAGCAACCACACACTAACAGTTCTAGCGAAAGCAAGGTATATTAAACAATTGTAGTTGTTATAAATAAATAACTTTTTAGAACGTCACATAAACTGTTACTATTTACACCGAGAAATGATGTCAATCAGATAATATCAACAAACACTCCATCCTTTATATTGACTAATATGAACAACAGTATACAAAATTCCGACAAGGAAAATTCCCAAATAGTAAACCATGAAATAGAACTAGCTAATTGACCAATAATATCAAAGGTCAAACAAGTTATACGGTCAAGGACTATAACTGCTTAAAAATCAGACATAGGAAATGAAAAAATTTATACAACGATAACAATCTCAAATGACAACCAATCATAAGTAAGGTCATGGGAAAAAAACTTATTTGACATATGTAAAGGTTAAATAAACAGACTCATCTAATTACTTTATAAACGTTACAATGAATACAATTTTTCTTTTCAAAGAAATTCCTTCCTTTGAAGTGATTGATATTTCATATCATGCATACACAGTCTACTGTATATTGAATGGATTTTCATTCATAATTTGTGTTGTTCACTTAATCTTGTAACAAGCAATATTTTCCATATGCAAACTAATAAATATGGCAGAATGAGACGTTTATTGAGAAATACACTTAGGAGAAATAATAATTTTTCTTGTTTATTTCGTTCTCTCTAAACGGTTACAAGTCTTTAGAACGCTGTTTATAAATATGATAATTAGTATAATCTTAAATAATTAGAATAGTGTATACACGTTAGGATAAGAAGCCAAAACGTGTTCGAGATTGTTTTGTTTTTACTTATCCATTAGACTAAATGTATAAAATGAGTCATACGACCTAACTTTAAAGGAAATATGTAAAAATAACCAACTGTATGGTGAACAAATATATATATCTGCCTTTATTTCCACCTGCGCATATTCATCAGTATGTTTTAGTTATACAATTCTTTGTGACTGTTCAACAGAAAATACGATAAAAACTGTTTTTCCTACAAAAAAATAACGAATTTATCTCGAATTGAACTTTCCACTGACAGAACTGTGAAAATTTTCGAAAAGATTTTCGTCTTACAGTGTGATAAACGTTATTCTATCAAGAAAAAAACTGACTACATTTGGGCGATATAAGTAATAATTCCGTTTGTAGGTCTACTAGGATTGGGCAACAACAAGGGTAAAAGCTATAAGAGAAGGAAATATGAAACAACAATATGACATGACGAAGAAACTGGTAAGGAATTATAGTAAACCAGAGAGACCACTCAAGGACCAGGAAGGTAAGCCAATCACTGAGATTCAAAAAGAGAGGAACAGATGGGTAGAACAATTCGAGGTATTCTTGAATAGATCAGCTCCATCGAATCCACCGGATATCTAAGCAATACACACCGACATTTCTATAAATGTCACTCCCCTAACGATCAAAGAAATCAGGATGGCCATCAAAAAAATCAGGGGTTGTAAAGCAGCTGGACTTGACAGTAAACCAGCCGAAGCACTGAAGTAACTGCAAACATGCTCCACATTCTATTCAAGAAGATTTGGGATGATGAACGACAGCCAACAGATTGGAGACAATGATGTCTCATTAAGATACGAAAGAAAGGAAATCTGAGCAAATGTGATTACTTGTAGTATCGGTTGCTATGTAAAGCCCACATAACTTATTCTAGCTTACGGACAAGCCAATTGTGTTCATTATTCTTGAGTCGCATTTTGACCTTGTTAATTATTTGCTTATCAACCTTGACTGACTATAAATATCGATTCACACTTGGTTAAATCGAGTTGGTTTACACGCCTTCTCCACCGCTCGTCATTTCGTTTCGCTCACATCTCAGATCGTTAGTCTGGATCAACAGTTGTATGGAATATACATATTCAAACCCATTCTCGTATTTGATTTACTTAATTCCGTTATTCTCCAACGCGAATTAAATCAATAATTATATACGAGGATTGGCGACATGAATATTTTAATAAAAATCATTCATACGATTATATTGAAGTCAGATAAAGAGCCACTAAGATCTACAGAGGCATCACACTACTATCGGTACCAGAAAACGTTTTCAACAGTGTTGCTGAACCGGATGAAAGATTCAGTAGACTCCCAACATCGAGATCAACAGACCGGACTCCGTAAGAATCGATCGCGCACAATCCAAATCGCGACACTACGGATCATCGTTGAACAATTAATTAAATGGGATTCGTCACTATGCATTAACGTCCATGAATATGAGAAAGCATTTGATAGTGTGGATAGGAGTACCTTATGGAACCTTCTTTGGCACTCTGATGTACCTGAGATGATCGTCGACATCACATGGAATTCATACGACGGATTACAGTGCAAAGTCATGCGTCGAGGACAGTTGACAGACTCATTCCAAATGAGAACTCGAGTTAGACAAGGCTGCTTACTCTCTCCCTTTTCTCTTTCTTCTGGTGGTTGAATGGATTTTGAAGAACTCCGTATATGAGGGGAAGTACGGGACACAATGAATAACTTGCATGTAATGAGACAATTTGGACTTCAAAGATCACCTAACACACCAACAAATGTAGGTCAAGACAACCAGTGTGGCAGAAGCCTCTGAATCAATAGGCCTCAATATATACAAGGGAGAAACCACAATCCTTAAATACAACACGGAGAACACCAACCCAATAACACTTGATAGAGAAACCTTGAAATAAGTGGAAATTTTCATGTCTTGGACAGCACCATTGATGAACAAGAAGGATCTGTTGCAAATGTAAAGGTGAAGATTGGAAAATGAAGGGTCGCATTCCTACGGTTGAACAATATTTGGGACTGAAAACAACTGACAACTAACATCAAAGTCACAATGTTCAGCACGAACATCAAGACATTTCTACTGTACAGAGCTGAAACTTGGTGAACCACCACGATCATCAACGAAATGTGCAGGTTTATAAACAGTTATCTACAAAAGATAATCAATATACGTTGGTCGGATACAATCAGCAACAACCTACTGTGGGAGAAAACAAACCAGCTTTCAGTTGAAGAGGAAATTAGGAAAAGACTCTGTAAATGGATAGGACATATATTACGGAAATAATCAAACTACATCACGAGACAAGCACTATCTTGCAATCTTGAAGGGAAACGAAAAAGAGGAAGACCAAAGAACACATTGCATTGGGAAACGGAAACAGACATGAAAAAGATGAATAGCAACTGGAAACGATTATCTAGGACATTGTTCAGTGGAGAATGATGGTCATTGGCCTATTCTCCTCCGCGATGAGTAACAGGTGTAAGTACATAAGTATACAAGTAATACTTTCCTCGATCGATCGTCGAGTGTTAGTTCAATCATTGGCGTCGATTGATTTTATTGATCATCTCGAACATTTCAACCAGCTCACTAGCAACGTCTCTGACAGTGACACAGGATGACAAGGGTTTGAACTCCGCAGTGAATTCATTGGCCCATGACTGTAGAAAAACTTTGTTGACTAGTCGAAACTATCGGGCAGTTTAGGTTCGTGGCATATTATTGTTTGTTTCCAGCCACTGAGCATACACTTTCTCCCTTGTTCTGTTCATTTAAATAACCAAGTGGAAGTAACCAACATATAATAAAAACGTACACTACGAAACAACATTGATAGTTGTCATTTATAAGATTCGTAATGCAACTTGGATAGTAATTAATAGTTGTATTTTAGCGATCAGAGCCTTCAAATTTCAAACAATAGGTCAATGGTCCGGGTTTTTCCCTACATACTTTGTGTTAAGTATACTGTTTGTATTACGCAGACCTCGTACTAAAGGTGTAACTGAAATCTCAGTAAATAAACCTATTATCAGACAATAAATAATAATAACTATATATATATATATATATGAAATAATAAAAAGTAATTAAGTAGAATGATAAACGAGTGAATAGAATCATGCTCAGTAGTATGTTAAAAAGTGTAGAACAGAACGAAATATGAGGCGGCAAAGCGTGGTCATTAAGTGTAGAGGATACTCGTAAGTTACTAGTAGTTGACCACAGATGTCTTAGAAATATTGCTCGCATCTACTGGGATCACCGGGTAAGTAACAGTGAAGTTAGACACTAGGTATTAGGATTTATGGTAAATCAGTTCATGTGGTTGTGAAACTTCATCGACTAAGGTAGTTGGGACACGTACTACGCATGCCCAACTACCGATTATCATGGTACGCAATGATGATTAGTGTTGAAGACGGATGGAAGAAAGTTAGGGGCTACCAAACCAAAACGTGACATCAGTCCATAAAGTCACTAACTTCTGATCTGAGCCATGTTGGGACATGCAGACTACTTGGTTGGGGACCGTGCGACTACCGTAAGCGGTAGTTGGAGACTGTGTGACATGGCTCAGAATCGATCACAATGACGTAGGTGTGTACATCCTTTGTCTGCCCTTAAACCATGAAATTAAAATTGCTTTACACCTTGTTTGTATGAACTAAGGCCTTCTACCTGTATCATATGTTTGTATGCAATCTTTTTTAACATATTACTACCATTGAAGTGACTAATTCTATAAATTTGGTACTTGTATTGTTGTGCTAATGAGGTATGGCAACTTGGACCGATGCATATATGTGCCTGGTTCTACGCTGTAGATGACTGACTGACTACTAAATAAAATTTTATCAAGTAAACAAGACTGGAATATTTCCCATTATTGTCTTACAAGTATGTTTTAAATCTATAAATTACTTAAGTTCCTTACGGTTAACATGAACATCTAAGACATATAGCCTAATCGTTAACAGTATTTATTTTTTCTCATTCATATTCGGTTCTTGTGGACAAAATATCTATCGGTAGAAATATTTCAGTCTTAGAAAAAAAACGACGAAAAGCATTCACATAAATATATACTTACGGCTTTACATAACTTTTGGTTTTTTGATTTGTGATATGCATGGTGATAATGATTATAGAAAAGTAATAGAAGACTGGCTTGATAAAACAAATTGAAGTAATATACAAATTCCTTCAGACCACATTGGTTGTAAAGTGAAATGTAAGAATAAAGCATTCCATAGCTAAATTGAATCTATATGAAAATAAGAAGGAGAAAACAAGTGTGATATGGAATCATTCAACTCTTTTTCTAAAAAAATACTTAGAGAAAGAAAATAATTAGGTATATTGAAAACTGAAAATTCCTATTCAATAAATAGCTTCGATTGGTTACATCCGTTTAAATTACCAACTTACAGTGAATAAGATTTTGAGAGAATCGAAATAAATTTATAACTCAAAATCAAAAATAGAATTGTGTTTTGATGATATTGTCTAGAAAGACGACGAAAACTTTACAATTAAACCACCTATCTAACAGTGCGAATTTTTGTGAATTGTAGTTCATACATTGTACAAGTCATTTGCTTTGGTATCTGAATCGAAAATACACTCCACATCTAAGCAAAATGTTATTTACTAGACGCTAAGTCACATGTGTTTTATAAGGATTGGAATAATTGTCTAAGACAGATACAGAGTTATACCTGAAGATCTACCAGCTGTTTCAGTTATTTGAACCAATGAACTACAACATTAAGTAAACTTTATCGCGTCTGTGAGCTTTAAACTCGACTTCGCCGGATGAACTTCAGAGCTTTGGACCCCTGATGAAATTCGATTGCCAAGAAAATAAAAAAATCCTTGATAAGCGAAAATCTACTATTGAATACCGTTTATCAAATAAAAACTTCTGGTATCATACGTCATCAGCTGATGTTAGTTGGAAAATCAGAAGGCATTTGATAGTTATTTTGTCCTGATGTGGTAAGTCCTTCAAGAGATCAAACCTAAAACCTTTAAACTCTCACACAAAGTGATGATACCATGGATCCATAGACCCGAAGAGTACCGTTTAAAAAAAACTAGCCATCCAGATCTTTTCTTCAAGGATTGTCTAAGATCTGTTGCTGATCCATATTATGAAGATTCAACAACCTCCTTCTAAATACTGAAAGTTGGTATTGTTTGTCGAAAATGGATCCAAGGAAAGGAAAGAAGAATAAAGCACAAAAACGTTTCTTTAAGTATATAAATTCTTTATATTCGCCTACGAACTATATAATAATTCCATGTGACTTCATTTTCTTAAGAGAAAATTGAGATGAAATGACTAACGAAATAGTTTTTTAGTTCAAATTTATTTCATATAATCAGTTTGAATTGGCCAAAAAAATCCTAAGGCATCTTTTTTGCAGTTTTTATTCTTTCTCTTAGTTTTTTGCTTTAGAGTTCCGTTGTTCACTTTATATGAATATAAATAAGTGCTGGATATATATACACTCAAATTGTGCTTTGATAGTAATCAAACATGAAATTATTAAATTAACACTGAATTGACCTTCTAAATACAATTTATACACCTTTTGCCAAAGGTTTAATTGATGGTCTAGGATAAACGGACGAATTCTACAACCTATTGTCATTTGACAATTTGAAACATGTTTATGAACAATTTCAACCATGTAGTATAGTCCGCCAAATATACACATCAGATAAGATATTCCATTTTCTAAATGGTTAAATGTTATAAAATAATAGATAGCAATTGTTCATCATCAACAAAAAATGTAGTACACAAGTGTTAGCTTATTTTCAAAAAAAAACAAACCATTTGTAGCATTGTTAGGTAACGTTTCCACCATAAGTATTTTCGCCATTTAGGTCCAAGAGCTGCAAATGCATAATAACTGTACATAATCACATGAATCGTGCAGTTGACTGCGACAGGTTGGAATATTTCACCCCCAGCTGCCCATTTCACTCCAGCCCATGTTATCGGAATCATTGTACAATGGTGATAGACATGTAACCATGTGACAAGATGTGTTCGACCACGAATTATAAAAAAGAATGTATCTAAACATTCTACCACTTTTGATATATGAAATAACCAAATAGCTCGGGCTAGCTGTATAGCAAAATAGAAACAATTTCATGTTACTTTCTTATTTCAAACAAAAGTAGTCGATAACTTATAGTGATGAAGATAGTTTCGTCACTACAGACTGGTCTTGGTTGAAGAGCTAGTAAAACAAAAAAGCATTGGATAAATAACCTGTTACGTTCCCAACTCCCTTAAAAGTGTATAGATCGAACACGGGACAGGTAGGTCTCACGGTTACCACTTTGATACCCATTTAGGTACTAAGAACAAATCATAACTTTTGACTTACATTTTTCATCTCCTATAGCTTACTATCATCCGATGAGTAACTGCCATTTACAGTACCATTTAAGTAGTCTGCATATAAATTTTGGCTTTATTTCTCTACTACACATGTAGTTATTTGAGAAATGGCTGTTCTTTTCTAATATTGATTCAGCCATAATTTGAAGCTAGAACTATTTGATTGTATGTATATGTATGCATGCCCCCAAATGCCCTGGTTCGGCCGAGAGTCAGCTCTCCCTCTGGAAATGCTCACACATAGCCACATGCATACAACCACTGCCTTCTTGCAGCAGGATTGTTTATAAAATTGAGAGGACAAAAAGCGAATGTCCGGCGCTTTAACCGGGTTGGTGGATACGGAGGATATACCTAGAGGAGTTGGAAAACCCTGATTCCAAACCAATGGTGTACATGAGCTGCAGGATCCCAACGAAATAAATGGCGTATGAATCTTTTTTCGGTTATGGTTATCACGAGACTGCATCTCCTAAAGTTGCTCCATTGCCTTGCGGATTAGACCTCTATGTCAAAGGCTTCAGGAGTGGCCTCCTGAGAGAACCATCTGCCTCGGTTTGGGAACACGGGCAAAATTCCAGCCCTCACATAAATTGAATGATTTATGTGGTGCATATCTACTAGGTGCCTCTATTTACCAATTTTTATGTGTTTAAATAAACATGTATCTGCAGTGAATAGCTATTTGTATCACTTCAGCTCTCATTTGTAGAATAATTTTAGCAATTTCATCATTTTATTTTAGTGTTTTCTCAAAGACATTGATGAAACGCAGATTCTTTTGGTCGGACGCGTCGACAACTTCACTTATCTTGAAAGTCTGGTCAGCGCTAATGGGTTGGTGTCTGACGAAATCTCAGCACGGATTCGAAAAGCTCGCTTGGCTTTTGCCAACTTACGTCACCTGTGGTGAAGGTGAGATATCCGTCTATCAATAAAAGGACGAGTAAACTGCGCGGCAGTCCGTTCTGTTCTACTTTACGGCTAAAAAGCGTGGTCATTAAGTGTAGAGGATACTCGTAAGTTACTAGTAGTTGACCACAGATGTCTTAGAAATATTGCTCGCATCTACTGGGATCACCGGGTAAGTAACAGTGAAGTTAGACACTAGGTATTAGGATTTATGGTAAATCAGTTCATGTGGTTGTGAAACTTCATCGACTAAGGTAGTTGGGACACGTACTACGCATGCCCAACTACCGATTATCATGGTACGCAATGATGATTAGTGTTGAAGACGGATGGAAGAAAGTTAGGGGCTACCAAACCAAAACGTGACATCAGTCCATAAAGTCACTAACTTCTGATCTGAGCCATGTTGGGACATGCAGACTACTTGGTTGGGGACCGTGCGACTACCGTAAGCGGTAGTTGGAGACTGTGTGACATGGCTCAGAATCGATCACAATGACGTAGGTGTGTACATCCTTTGTCTGCCCTTAAACCATGAAATTAAAATTGCTTTACACCTTGTTTGTATGAACTAAGGCCTTCTACCTGTATCATATGTTTGTATGCAATCTTTTTTAACATATTACTACCATTGAAGTGACTAATTCTATAAATTTGGTACTTGTATTGTTGTGCTAATGAGGTATGGCAACTTGGACCGATGCATATATGTTCCTGGTTCTACGCTGTAAATGACTGACTTCTCAAGGTAAACTTCTGCACTTGCTCATTGAATTGCACCAATGTAGTTTAAATTGAAAACAAATTAATGGGCAACATGTTCTAGTCAAGGAGCTAGTTTTTTTGGGTCGGAACACTAAAGAGACGTTTGGCTTTGGTCAAAAAGTCCTTGCATAACTTTGGAAAGAATCGAATGTTTTCAAAAATATTAGCAAATTATTTCAGTTTAATTGTGCGTAGACATAGCAAACAAAAGTTAATTACAAACGATACTAATGGCCTTACGAGGCAAATGAACACTGTAAGACAAGGCAAGATCAAGAAGAATTAGATCAGCGTCAACAACGTACAATGTTCCAGTGAAAGAAATGTTTTGAACCGATACTTGATGGTGACGCTGTCCTGCCAATGACAGGTTACTTACCCAGGCTCTTGTTACCTTTTGCCTAGTTACTTCGATTATGGTTTCTTCCAGAAAACTCCATATTTTATGTGATATGATAGTGATTTTAGGCACTGTTTTTACCTGCAAACGTACAAGTTGTTCGTTGATTAGTGAAGTAGTAAATCATCTCTAACTTACAAGCGTCTGTTATACTTGTTATATTTGTTTTGTGACATGCTGATCATATATAACATTTTAAGATTCTTCAACAACTTGCAGCAAGGACTTAATTGAAAAATGATAATTTCATTCCAAAAAAGTGATGAAATATGTTTTCAGCCAAGTTAACTTGACTACACGCTTATAAGTGAGAACATAAAGTTTTCATATTTAAAATATAGAGATATGATCTGAAATGAGTATTAACAACAGCTGTTATGCAAACATTTTAGCAAATCAGTCGTTAAAGGTATATATATTACGAAAATAGTTACTATGGGGCGTTTATGGAGATTTATTTAGTTGCACAATAAACTACATGGACTGATCTTAATTAAAAAACCATATAAGGCTACTCGGTAGTGTCCATTCACGACCTCACTACCGGGAATCTTGCCTAAGACCTTCAGTGTCGAATCAATTTTAGATAAGTTTAATAGTTTCGAGCAATTTTAAAGCACAAAAGATGGCACATATTCTATAGATTGTCTATCTATGTGGTAAATCTTGTGAGATAATAAGGAATTGAACTATTAAGAAATCTCATAGTATGACTGTCTAATTGCTCCGTATTTCTTAACATGAAACGTCTTAGGTGTTAAAGTTGTTTTCAAACAAACGTAAGAGCCGGAATCTCTTGCTTTAATGAAAATTTAGTGACATACATACTGAGAACATTATTTACAAATGACAGTTCAATATTTTATTTCGTTATCTTACGCAACTTCTCTCCTATACACGAGCGGATATGATTTTCATTGAAAACTAGTTAACATTTAGAAAGTCTAAAATCTGTTTAAAACATTAGATCAAGTTTCGATACATTAGAACATTTCAGTAGTTAAGTTCAAAAGCATTAAGGGATACCATGAATCGGAATTTTCGAAAGATTAAACTCATCGATTCACTTCATAGATTATGTCCGTAAAGTCAACAAAACCTGTCAATCGAAACGATTGATGTCAAAATAAATTATTTTATTTAGTAATTAATGGTATAGCACATAAAATTGTTTTGTATTATCAAGCATTCTTTCCCGAAATAAATTTCTCATTGATGAATTTATATTAGATTAATTTTTATTGCCTAGAAGACAACCTTACCGTAAAGATAAGAACGATTTACAAAAACTACGTTCTGTGATGATAAACAATAGACTGTTTTCTATTGCTTATGTACTGAGCACGAATTATTTGTCTGTACTTGCTTACACTAACCATAGTTATTGCCATTCAAAAAATTTCATGTGAATGAATGTATGTCACCTTTTGAGCGTCCTATAATTTCTAAAACTTAAAACTTGTCACTCAATCAATTTCTATCCAGTTTCAGGCTAAAGACTGTATCCGTAGAGCTTTGATTTAATGGTAGCTCCATAGAAACTGGCTTGTCCTCCTGTGGTCACTTAAATCTGCCAAGATCAGCCGTCAGCTGAACGCTTTATAGGCGTATTTTTTCCAGATGCCTTCATGAACGTATAGATCTCGCTAACTACATGTATTGGAACAGAGCTCAATCCCAAAGCATTACTTTGCAAGCTGTTGACAATTCGACTATTTTAGGATATCCTTCTATTTGAGTATTGCATTGGTACAACTCTCTAAGCCTACGTTTTAAAATTATAAAATTTCCTGTCGTCAGCGAATAATAATAACAAAATCTGAAATGCATCATCAAACCAATTTTGAAAAGCACCGATAGTAGAAAGACAGTACGATAATTAATAAAAGTGAGTTTCGTAAACAACAAATTACGGACTTCTGAAGAGTGATAAATAAAGTTATTAAATATGTTTTAGATGTAATATTCCTTAACCCATCAGATTTAAGCACTACACAATAAGAATATAAGCCACATAGCATAAGAAAATACAGAGGTCCTATAGTCCATGGAAGATTAATAAAGTAATTAAATAATCAGTAACAAACGGTACAACTCATGAAAATTTATCTCGGCATTCGTCCGCAATACTAAGCAGGTCGACTGTATGCTTTTAAGCGCATACCTTAGTTATAAAGGCAGAGGTATAATATAGCTGCAACGGTAGGTAAAGCCCTAAAGTAAACAGCTGTCAGTCTTTGATATTGATACTAATCATACAGGTTTAACTGGATACCTCACAAACCGGAGATGCTCAGTTAAAGCATTCGTATCAAATCACTTTTCAATATTTCATGCAACGCAACTTCTTCGACAACCAGCCGTCTTAGATTCTATAGGCTACGATACCCCTGCCTATAGTTCTGATATAACATGGCTCAAAATCGTTTGCAATGGCGCAGGTGCATCCACTCTCTGTGTTCTCCCAAATTCTAGTCTTCTGAATTCTTCATGTCCCTTTTTTCATCTTTCCAAAGTTATTTCACTGGATTATACTCTTTAAATAACATCTCCAAAACCTAATCTTCCCGATTACTGCTTATACTCTTATTACCTCTACCACAATGGGATTTGAATCAACAACTGCATCTCTGCGCTAATGTGGTGTGGCAACTCGAACTGATGTACGTACGTACGGAGTTCTACGTTGTTACTGACTGACTGACTGCACATCTTACATTACTTTCGATCTCTGATTTCACTGGTTTTTGAAACGTTTCGTTGAAAGACGTTCCGAGAGTAATACTAACAAGTCTTGGGTGTTCAGTGTGTTTGGACAGTTTTCATACAACTATTCGTAGCCGATATTATTAAACTCCAAGTATTTATCAGTTTTCAAATCTGAAGTCTACAGCTCAACAGAAAAAAAGATGCTTGCAGCGGAATTTTCGGGTTTTAAACCTGAAATCGGAGATCACATGAGTACTAGTAGTTAATAAACTGAAAAAGCAAAGACGATAAGCAGTGGTTCTTTTGGAGCTGTCATGACTAATCATTAGTAAGTGCATATTTAATCAGGTAATAAGTTGTTGATAGGACAGTATTAAGAACAGGGTTTAAACAAAAACCATGACGATAAAAAGATCTCAAAATAGAAAACTTACTCTCAAAGCGTTAGGATTTGAACTGTAATCAACCTTTTGACAATACAACGAATAATTTTCATTAAATGCGACTGCTACAGATTCATATAGCATATAGGCATTCATAACTACCATGATCCAATCATACGCAACAACGAGTCCGTTTATACGAAAAGGATTCCTTCCTTTCATGAACTTTAACCCATAATGAACTAATGTTAGGTAGGCAATGATCACATATAATAAACCATTCACTGAACTCATTAGGAACATCGAGGAGACTCTGGGGTCTATATGGGATACAAACACATCCTAATCGATAAATACCTGCCCTTTCCATGCTTGTTTTAAAAATCCTGTTCATCCCGTCAATATATTCACCTACTACGTTCATTTCCAATAGGCGATTAGAAACAGATGACAGAAAAGAATCTGTGTGATAATGTTCAATAATAAAATTAACAAATTAAAACAGAATTACACGAATCAGTTTTCAATATCTTTTGTCACAAGTTACTGCAAACAGATTTATTTCTTTGTCTCTGTTTCTTTTCTTTTCGATAAAACTCTAGATATCTGGCAATGTACACTTGATGGCAGTCTAGCCATTTGATTGCACCAATTTGTGGATGTGTATACTTAACAATCCCAGTGAGCGCGATTTTCTCTGAGCACTTGAGCTTTGGGATATCAGCGGCTATCACAGTGCTAGGCAGGAGGTCGGTTGGCTGCAATATGGAAAATAATAAAGTGGTAATTCGGGCGATATCAGGATGCGATCGTTTCAAGGAAAAAATCAATAAGTTGATTTATTAGTAATGAAGACAGTATGACAAGGCCGAAGTTAAAACGCATATAACAATAAGCGGAACAGAAGGTAGTTACTGAAATGTGAAAGTGATAACAGTAGTATATCATGAGACAATAATTCGGCACAACTGATCCACTCGGGAGAAGGTAATCTGTGGATGAGTACATGTTTGTCAAATCTCCTATTTAAGCTATACATTGAGGAAGCTACGTTTACCTCTACTAAGAGAGCACATCTAGTTATGGCTACTTCAAATCAAAAAGCGGTAGGGGGGGGTACCCGGTGTTTTCACTTTTTAGTATGCAATCTTTTAAGCGTCGCCCCAAATAATATGTTGGTAATTTGTTGACAGGATACTCATGTTGGGATGATTCGGTGCCAGCGCGAAATTTCAAAGTGGTAACAATTTTTCATCCTATCTTGTATATCGAGCACATTTTGCCCCAGGAAAATAATTTCAACGGACGGTTTCTAATTAATACACGAATATTGCGTACTTTGTTTCCTTCATACCTTCTATAAGCCTCCAGTAATTTACATTGACGCGTCTCTGTCTTTTGATCATACTAATTGGAATAAATATATTCCAATGATCGCTACTGCGTTATAACCGAACACCTTGTATTTGAAATACGTTATATACACATAGTTTTTGATCTTAGCATTAGCCTGGTTAATACTTAACAATAACTATGGACTCAGCTATTCTATTTAATTTAACGAGCCTTCTATTCACCAAGCTTCAAATTACGACAAGTAACTCTAGTAAAAGAGAAATTTCATCAAATTTTAAGCCAAATAATAGGTCAACATCTGTAACCTCTATGACTGATGATTCAATACCTGTCAATGTTGAACCTTTGTCTTCTGAACCCTGAACAGATATCACTATTACTACTTGATTCTCCTCTTGACAACCCCTCTGTCTTTTCGTACAGTATGCTGGCGGTGAGACTGGCTGACATAAAGGCAATATACCCACGTGCATCAAAAAGTCAACACAGTCTACCAGACAGCATGTTTTACTAAGGCCTTAATCTAAAATTCTAAAAACCAAAGCGTCTAATAGCTTATCTCATACATACGGAAACACTGATCAACATAGCACTGACATCCGTCAGTTATAAAACTCTCTGGTCGAATTTAACGGTAGACTTAGACAAATAACGGCCCACACACACATATGAGACCTCAATACTGATAAAAATTTTGAGCAACTCATTAAAGCTGAGTGTATTTTGGAGTTTGTGCCTGAAGAAGTGATGAAAAGAGTGATGTCATCCTACAAAGCAGTTGCATACAATCTCCCTGACCGCACACACCAAAATAAGTTAAGGGATATTTGCCTTATAGCATGCATATAGTAAACGCCAACTGCCAAGTCATCCGCTTTGGAAAAAGTTAGACAGATAGACATGCCCTCTACTGTTTAGATTTGGCTGTTGTAACGATGCTAAACAGTTTATTGATTCGAGCAAAAATATTAGCTCAATAATTCCATACAAAGCACAAAAGTCACTCCAGACCTTACACCCTGTCAACGTCGTGTAAGAAGACGTGAAGTGATAGGATTGCATGGTAATGTTGAAGTAAATAATCAGCTAGAGACAATTTTCAGCACAGTAAATAGATAAAAGCACATGAACAATAAGCATGACATCACTCCACAAATGGCACTTCACTCTGTAGATCTAGATGCGTCTGCTGATCAGAAACCTTTGGATAAAATACGAACACCAACTGTCACCAAAAAGCATAACGACATGTCTAATCCCGGCTGTTCGCCCAGTAAAGTACTAAACTGTGAGCTGTGTGACAACCTACATCAAACTAAACATATACACTTGATAATTAGACCCCCTAAATATACTCCACAAGTTGGCTCGAATGAACCCAAATTCATCTCACAGAGACGACGAAACTATCCGTCTCTGACGAAAAAGGGTGGGAAGACAAGACTCAGGATACCGAACAGGGAAGCACGTAAGATTGAACCCAACTGCTCTATAGATATCCCAACGACAGTGAACAGGTTCTCCCCGCTGATATCATATAACCTGACGTCATCACCTCTTAGTTGCGCAACGGGCAGTAGGCTTGAGTGTAACAAGTCGTTTTATACGCAGACTAGCAAAAACTACCAGAGTACTGATAATTCCACTCACCCTATAAAGCCTAAAACCATTATGAGCCATTATAATAATAGGTTTTTCACCCCACATTCAGTCTAGATTCCCCAGGATCACAACTGTAATTACTCTCAGGAAGAAAACTTTTCACACCCTTCAGTACCAACCCACTACATAAAAATGGCTTCTATGTCTACCTACAGTTACGTGCAGCAGACCCTCCTCACACTCACACTAACGTAAGTAGATATAACAGAGCCTACGAACTCAAACATCAAGACCATTTTGCAAATAACAATACACCTCACAGTCGGCCTGCACCAGATTATTTTTCGAATACGGTCCCTAATGGCACGAAGCAAATAGCCCATGCCATTTCTAACCACATGCGGAACATAAACTTGCTTCCCGCGTACGGTTTCCATCAGAGAGTGCTCCCAACATTTCCTCCTGGGTAAATTCCTGAAGCAACTTCACTGTCTCACTTGACGCATCCACCACTAACTCTAGCGATTCAAATATCGAGCTACTGAAGACCATTCAATACTTCACTTTTAACCCACATCATACACGCAAGGGCTATGACAACTTTAATCGAGATACTCTCACCCGTTTTAACTTTGTAGGCCACTTGTTTAATATGTGTCTTATCAATGCTATGTCGATTTGCAATAAAAAGATGGATTTAGCCCTGTTTGCATCCATATATAAACCATTGCTTATAATGATATCTAAAGCATGGACTGATAGTAATCTTTTCAACTTAAATAGATCTCTTGGTAACTATTTACTATGTCAGAGTGATAAGTTGAGAGGGCGAGGCGGAGAGTGCTTTATTTACGCTCACTATATTATGTGATATGCCTGAATTAAACAAACTGAAGGATTTGGTGTGAATTGTTTCAAAGCCATCAATTTCCATTATCTTACTGTTCGTCTGTGTCTACCGTCAACCTAACGCATCAACAGGTGAAACAGCAGTATTATCGGAAGTATTCACACTAGCACCATCCCTCCCATTCACAGGAAAGTTTATTTGTGGTGACTTCAACATGCCTGAAATTTCATGGTTCCCAGCCAAGGCGCCAAAAAGTTATGAGTCATTTATTGAATGTCTAGAGCTTGGAAAGTGTACTCAGTATGTCAGTAGCTCCACCAGACATCAAAATATCTTGGACTTAGTTTTTACCAGTGGCCTCACCCCGATACCGTGTATATTGAAAAAAGGTCTGCAGGTAGTGATCATAACATTGTCATATGTGGCCTCAATATAAAAACCATAACCGGTAGAAGTAAAACTGTATCACTTCGGAGAAACTATCGCATGGTTGATTGGAATAACTCCCACAATTATCTAAGAAGCACTGATAGGGGAACTTTCTTTACTGCAAACAATGCCGACACACTAACCAATATATTTTATCACAACATCGGAAGTACCATCAACAGATCGCACCTTTAGAATGCCGGAGACCTAAGTTCTCTAAAGATCTGCACATACCAGTTAGTTCACGAAGACGCATTCAAAGAACTTGTACTCGATTCCACAACTCCAATGACTTTTCCCCTTTAGTAAAGATGACATAAAAGTTTGTCCGAACAGAGACAATACGTACACAAAAGACAGAAGCACAAAAGAAACGGGCTGTCGAACTTAATAATAACTCCTCTGCACTCACAATACTCTTTCAAAGTAGACTTAAACGTTCTAAATCGAGAGGGGACATATTTATTAAATACAAACAAGTATACGGAGATCCTAAACTTGTTACGGAACTATTTAGTGCACACTTATGTTTCGCATTAACTAAAGGAAAACCAATAAATGACTCAGAACCAATCCAAGCACCTCCCTGTAAAATTACTAGTGTTGACTTCAAAGTACAAAATATCTATAGGGCAATTAGTACATTGAAACAATTGTGATATTTAGAAGTATTTGCATTATAGTACAAAATAAGAATCCCAGAAATAACTCAATTAGAACAAGAAGTACTATATAACCACGAACGAATGTACAGCATTTCGAATTCGAATTCAAGCATTCAACAAGTACAAAGGAATCACTGGTTCAAACACCACATCCGCCACAGCTTAAATTAGAGGCAAAGTGTCTGTAAACGACATTACGTTTTCTTCATAAGTTTGTAGTGACTCACATTTATCACGAGAACACGACTGGTTTAATAGAAACGTTTATTATTATAACCAAGTGTACCAGTGACTGTTTTAATGTGCTTTTGTTTGACTGTGCTAATGACAGCTATTTTGTGCTTCCATTCTTTTACTTACACTTCGATTGTAACTTCGCGCGAATTCCGTTACGTTCTGTAACCAAGGTTGTATTCTGGTTAATAAACCTCGACTTGGTCCATTAACTGTCTTCTGATATTTAGCTTCTCGGGGATTTTATGGAGTCATTTGGAACGAGCTTCTTACGCCTTCTGATTTATTTGGCACGTGTTTCTTGGTAGCGGTGTTCATAGGTAATCTCAACTAAACGCCACGCTACAATTGGTAATCCCAATTCGAATACAAGTTCATCCTGTGTCTGTCCGACAGTGAATTGGGCAAAAATCTGTATTATATAGAATGCACTTATTAGTATTAGAATTAACAACTAAAATCGGAACATACTCGCATGCTTCCTGGAATTGTGTACAATCACCATGTCGATTGTGTGCTGAAACCGCTGCTACCTAGAATTTGAACCACAGATTTTCCAACAACATCCACCCCCATGAAATAATGTTGGATCTTCATATCCCCAAGATATGAATGATCTGGCTTCATTTTAAACATGTTTCTCACATTGAATAGAGTATACATTTGAAGTGACTTATTGATAACGATTTACAGCAATTGATATGAAATCATCCGAATTGTGATAAAACTCGAGCTCATTTAGTACTTGTGCTTCGCACTGAACAAGTTTCCCAAAAGAAATAAATGCATTATGAAGACAAATAATATTTGATATGACACCACGATTCGATTCTTCTGAAATGTGTTCTCCAAATTTATTATGAATGTAAAACATCATTAGAAAAATCAGCATCTACTAAAACTACATCAGGTTTATGATCATGGTTAGATTCACCCAACATATTTTCCTTAGATCTGTAAGGAATTTCATCAGAAATGTGTGAATCATTAGAATAAACCATATCTGGTACAATAACATGAGAAATCTGATATGTTGATTGATCAAGAGATAAGAGTATCCATTTGAATCTGTTAAAGGTCCTACCGAATCCAGATGAACATGGTGAAAACGAGCGTCCGGATTTTTGAAAGAGCCCAAGGGACATTCGTTGCGTCTGAGAACCTTAGATTTTTGGCAGCTTACATAGGAGCGTGCCCACTCCCTCACGCCTTTATTCATGCCAGGCCAGCGAAACCGTTCTGCTACAAGCTTGATGGTTGCACAGCCACCTGGATGAGAAAGTTTGTGCAACGTATTCAAGACGTTGAGTTGATAATGTAGATGTGTCGCAAAGTAAGGCTTCCTCACCTGTTCCCATCTGTTTGATGCGCAGCTTGAGGGCTGTAAACGATAACTCGTGCTAAAGATCAGTGTCTTCTTTTTGAAGCTGGGCGAGTTTCAGGGGGTCGATTCCTTTGTAACTGTTCAAGGAAGTTACTCGAGACAAGGCGTCTGCGACTACATTGTTTACTCCAGAAATGTGTTGAGTTTCTGAAGTAAACTGCGAAATGTAGTCCAGTTGTCGAGACTCACGAGGTAAGTCCTTGTCTGAAGGAGAGCTTAAAGAGAAGGTAAGTGGTTCGTGGTCAGTGTAAAGGGTGAATTCTGGGCCTTTCATATAGTGTTGAAAATGCCGTACAGCACAGTACGTAGCTAGGAGTTCTCTACTGAAAGTGCTGTGCCTCAATGCAGTGTCTAGCAACCGTCTAGATAAAAATGCCAAAGGTTACGTGGAATGATTAGCCCATTGTTGTAGGACTCCCCCGATTGCTGAGTTGGATGCGTCTACTGCGATGCTAATGTTTGCTTCGGTGTCCTGATGAGCAAGCATTGTTGCTTTAGCGATAAGTTCCTTAACTGTGGCGAATGCTTTTCGCGCAGTGTCGTCCGGCTTTATGGATTTCGCTTTTTCACGAAGTTGGTCGAGTAGCGGTTTCATAAGGGAAGCGCATTTCGGTACGAACCGCCTATAGAAACTTACAAAACCGTTAAGCGTGCGTAATTGCTTGATGGTGGTCGGTTCTGGGTAATCCGGAATGGCCGCCACTTTGGTTTTAAGTGGTCGGATGCCTTGCTCACCTATAGTGTGTCCTAGGAAATCTAATGAGCCAGTTCCGATTCGGAATTTCTGAATGTTAACAGTAATGCCATGTTTTTGTAGTCGGTCGAAAACGAGATCCCTTTAGAACCTTTATGTCACTGTAGGCTAAGGAACAATCGAATATTTCTCTACAAAGCATTATATGGACTCTCATTTCTAACCTCCTGCCCAACTATGATCCATGACCCAGCCTGTAGACTAAGAAACAACGCATGTACACTACTTACCGTAAAACACCGAAAACAAATGCGTTGTAGGTTTTTTACAGTAAAGCATAGTTTATTGTGCAACAGGTTGTCAATACCCATCCGTAACTGTGACACTTTTACCAAATTCAAAAGTCTAATGACACTATTCCTTGACTCTGAAGAGCTACATCAACTATTCCCTGAACTTCCGCCCACCTATGAGGCAATTTATTATGGATCGCCTAATATCTAGACATATCATGAATATAACAGACTCCATTGTCATTAATATGAATATAAACAAGTGACAGAAAACATGGTTTACTCTCTCCCATTATTCATTGATTATTGGTTATGCCATTATTCTCTTGCTCCTCACTTCCAGATTTCGAATCTCCCTAATGGTTAAAGACACATTATGCTTACTAAGTGACAAGTCCTTTTTCTTCTGTTACAAGTAGAGAGATAACTCACTTGTCTTATGGATGCTGATCAGCAAGGGCCGACTACAAGAAGCTAATAATGTCCTAAATTCTTGTGAATTGCTCAATGTTTTGTTGTTTTACTCCGAAAATTTTACACTCCCAAACTCTTGCAGATTCTTTGATTTACTATCTGTCTTTACCATCTCTTAACCAAATATAATCTGACCTGGGTTTTTCAACTTTTTCTGTGTGAAAGTGAGATTAGAATTTGTGTAGAAGGAAAAAAATTACAACCCGTATGCACATGTTGGTAGAATAAATCGTAAATACATAAACATGTGAACAGTGAATAACCTCTTCACTCACAATGGCTTGTTCATGATTACATCTAACTTACCATAAATGATCCTTTCAAATCTCATAGAGACCACATTATTAATTCTATCCATGGATTTCATTTTGATGGTTTGTTTGATGTCACATTTGTATCATAGTTCAAGAAATACGAAGATGTATTCAAGGTTGACCTAGAGATATTTGATCATGCCGCAAAGGTCAGAGTGTTGCTACGCAAACTTCGCACAGCAGGACGTGAACGCTACACCAGTTGACATAATTGACACTGTTTGAAATAACATTCATTTCACTTGTCTTCTGTTTTCTCATTTTTGACTCGGGAGGGTTCTGACGTCTGAGTTCTCAGGTTATACGCGGTATGTCAAGAATCAAAAGCTCTAGATATAACGATAAAACACTAACATAGTGTATTGCGGTATGCGTTGCTGATGTCGACAGACATAAGTAGTATATATCATCAGTCGAAAGTGGAATGCCTAGAGGCAGAATGCTGAGAAGATCGAAGAAAAGAGAACGAGAACAGAGAATGATTGGTATGGAAACGAAGGAACAACAAATTCTGTGACAGTTGATTAGTATTTTGCAAATGAAGTATTACTGTGTGCTTCTCAGATTTTGCTAAGAGATCCCCATTTTCATCTTCCGTCACAATATTATTCGTCTACTTTATCAAATGTCAGATAATTTCTGGATTATGTACTGAATTGAATAAAGCAGAGCGAAGGGACCATCGTATTCTAAATTAATGGTTGTGATACCATGCTAGACATGTTGTTTGATGACACTAGATATGTACTGCTGTAGAAATTTTACACCTGAGAAGTCAAAAATTCAGTTCCCCTTAAGTTCTATTGGTTACTTGTTTAATGTGTAGTGTCAGTCATTATTCTAAGCCCATAATATATCTCATTCTAGTTTTTGGATAAACCAATCTATTCATTCTACTTCAGTCATATTTTGACCTTGTCAATTATTCGCTTATCAGTCTTGACTGTTTTTATATGAGCGTATATGTGTGTACACTTCATATCCCATGTCTCATTACATGTCTGTAGTTTATTTTGTCTGCCTATAAATATTGGCTAGAAATGGAGTTGGCTTACCAGCCATCCCCCTTGCGCGTCCTTTTTAATGTTTTCTATCGCATTCACTTTACATACAAAATATATGTATACGAACGTTCATTCTCGTCATTTGACTTATCTAAATCCGTTATTAACTAACGCGATTAAAGTCCATGATTATATATGAGGATAGGTGATAACTAATATTCATACGATCTAAATGGAGTCAGATCAACGGGCCACTAAATTGGTGAGCCCTTTCAACAATGTCGTTCGATCTAAATGACGACAAAATTACGGGCTCCACTAAAAATTGTTTCACTAAATAATGAAAACCAATTTTTACGATTGAAAAAGTTTCTTGAATTACCAAATCGAAATTCTCCCTTTGTTGTTTCACCATCCTTTTTTGATGTTATATATCTAATTATTCATCGTTTATCACTGTTACTAGAAATTAATGAAGGTTAGACCAATACACCGCCACTCAAGTAAAAATCCACCATGGTTTACTCTTATTTGATAAGAAGATATAGAAAGACAAGCTGACATTCTTTCATCTGAAATCATGTAACTGAATCCCAAAAGGAAGATATCTATTCAAGGAGGAGTAAATGATATACTCAACAAGCATAGACATATTACTAGCCTGTGCTCATACCTAATCTCAAGGTCATAGTGTACATAATATATCATAAGCGAAGCAACCTATGCAACTACCCAAGGTCTTATGGCGTTCAATATAGACATGTTAAATCCACATGAGTGTATACTCATTTTGGAATGCAATATCTGACAAAGCACCTAACTATTAAATGAATCAATTCAATCCAAATGGTCAACTTGCGGTCAGTAATGTAATCATGTCGAATATCTTATTCCTAAATCCTTCTACAATACCTTTACCTGGTTCCCTATCTTTTTTATTTATTAATTATTACTCTTCACGTTTGTATAGGAAGGGATATTGCATGGTATAAGAAGCATGTATCATTACCAGATTGGATTGTAGAATATAACACAAACATCTTCAATAAAAAACAGTACGATCCTTTATTGTCTAAACATTGAATAAGTTCCATTCAATATAGTAACAATATTGATAGGTTGGAATTCTTTCATATATAACAAATTAGAATGAACATAATAGATCGACTAGTTTTCAATCATTAATTTCTTTAAAAATAGAAAAAAATTCCGCAAATTTATTTAAACAATAAAAAAAAATGTAAATGACATAAAATATGATTTACATTAAAAATTTGTAGGCAAACAACCATAATGTAAAAAAAAGTTTTCCCCTTTTTTTGAAACAAAAAGAACCTTACTCACAATCATTATTGTTACTGGGATTACTTCGTACTGGAACAAACGAAATAAATTTCAAATATACATACGATAATATCGATGAAAAATTAATGTGGAGGGAAATCTTATTTAAAAGAAAAGAGGAATATGGAAGAAAAAAAATAAATATCTCACTGTATTAAATATTCCATTGAAGGTTTTTTCTTTGAAGCAAACAAGCGGAATGAAAATACATTTCTTTTTATTTAATTTCTCTCATCTAACATATACACTAGCAATTAGTAGTTCAATCCATATTAAACATCAAGTAATGTTAAAAGAATCCAATCATATATATAAATTGATATTTTCTCTTCGAATGAATGGTAGACTATAATTTATGGATGACCTTTGAGTGATGCTTAAATGACCTCAAGAATATCTACCCAGTTTATGAAAATAAAAAGTGGTCATAATTAGGATTAGGATCTTTAGTTAGAAATCAGGGTTACGAATTAAATTTAGGGTATTCATCATGAATTGACATTAGCTATCGTGTCAAAATGCTGTATGATCATATTAATAAATGAAGTTGGCGTCAAAATCCATGACATGCTGCCTCTAAGTTCATTGGTTCAAACAAAGAAAGAAATAGTAATCAATTTGTAATTCAATGGTTGTAAAATTAAAACGAAAATAAAATTACATAGATGATTAATTATTCCAATAAATTATGTAAGAATTAGTCGTTTTCAGTTATGAACTCCTTCGATTATTGCCGCTTCCTTCTTTTTTTTCCTTCATTTAAACTAATATCCTTTAACAGATTAAATCAACATAAATTTTGAAATAAGTAAAAATAAAAATGATCATTTACAATACAGAGTTTACAATTTAATAGGACAATTCAATATTTCATCTTATTATGAAATCAAATCAACCAATGATTGGAACGTATTCTTTATCGATGATGGGAGAAAACAAAAGAAGAAATGAGTTGTTCATTTGGAAAAAGAAAGTTTATTCATTACTGTTTGTAACAAACAAGATAAGATACTTTATACGAATATTCGTCAAGATTAGAACGAATAGTTTGACAGTAATTGAGCGCCGAGTATAGAGAAGTCATTATATGTGAAAATTATATTTGAAATATTCTCAGCGATTGAAATTTAAATAATTCCAACGTTTCGTCCAGCTAACTTGTCTGGACTTCTTCAGGGTAATAATCAAAATCAAAATTATCAAAGCAAGATAAGATACTGTTCATAAGCCATTGAGTTTAATGATGTATTTTATGATATAATGATGATTGATAAGTTCATAAGTAAAATGCTTATTGAATTACCTTTTTTACTTAAATTACATACAAAAACCAATTTACCTTTTAGTATAATTCAACAAGAAGGAGAGATAGAGAGAGAGAGAGAGAGAGAAGAGAAAGGAAGGAAGTGGTTGGGAAAGGAAAGACAAATTGTCAAAAATGAGTTGTAAAAATAAGTACACTCATAATCACTGAACAATTCAATATAAAATTCTTTAATGAATATACATATTGCATAAACCAAATTAAACTAATCCTAAACCAAACCAATTCAATGATCATATTCATTAAAAAAATTATACATGTTCATGAATTGAATTCCCATTTGTAATATACACATTTTTTTGCCATTTATATAAACATAAAAAAATAAATTGACATAGAACAAATGTACCAATACCATAGGATTCAACATTTTGATAATATGTTAATGATGAACATTCATTCCATAATAATTCAATAATTTGTATAACAATACCATTAGCTAATTTATCCGTAAATGACATATAACCATAAACAAATGCACCATGTTGTTGATATTTTCCTATTAAATCTGATACCATTGCTAATGATGTAATTAATATAATAGTACAACCGATACCAAGTATACCAGCAGCAATGTATATACGATGAATGATTGGTGGATTACCAGGATAATTAACTAATATACAAAATATTGTGACAAAAATTAATCCAATTCCAGAATTTGTCTGTAAGTTGATAATATTTTTTTTTGTTAAAAATCCAGAAAAATTTATAAAATGGAAAAGTATTTAAAAAGAAAAACAAAATAGAAAAATAAGACTTTGAATTTAGTTACTGGGTATTATATTTAAAAAACATGTCATTACTACCTTCTAAATGAGTTCATGATCTTCTTGTAAGGATCAATGAATAACAGTCATATTACTATATGATCAATATAATTCGATCAGCATTAAGGAACAGATAAACTTTGCAATGACTAATCAAAGTAAACATCTCAGTAGTACATGAGGACAATAGCTGTTTGCATAGGTGTTTGATAACGGTTCAGAATGGGAAATCAGGTGACTCATGTTTTAATTTATCAGGGAGCATCAATCTCTTTAAGACTATAGAAATCGCTAACTAGAAAGCGACAAGTTCTAAGAATCTTAGGTTCAGAGTTTTCTGTTGACTTAAACAGATTACCTAACAGTCATGCTGAGAGTAAAACGGAGATTCATCAGCGACATTGAATGATTGATAATCATAAGTTGCAGATATAAATTATTAGATTGTGAAACAATTCTTTAGTTGTATTGAGTGTACAGCAGTGAGTGAAAACTATTGGATTTGTCATTGCGATTAAATACACCCAGAGATAGTCAAAAACTTTCCTGATTGAATTTCAAGGATACACTCTGTTAATAAAACTTATTTACGTTCTCAACAATATCCCACCATCAAAACACTTACAGAACAAAACAGTCATTAAACTGGATGTTTACAATCCCCTCAGTTGAAATAATGAGATATATTAAACAAATTGAGTTGCTGATTTAGTCAAAGTCGATTGATGATTCTGTAAAACTACAGAAAAACTTTAGTCACCAGTGCTCATCACCAAACTTTTCTCAAAGTTGATGATGAACAAAATAAGGCATGCATAATCATAAAGATTGATGTGCTCTTGTTATACTGTAGTGAACGAGAACACAAATTTGAACAATCGAATGTTTTCAAACACTAAATTACAGAATTTCTTAGTAAAATCTGAGAACCATACTCTAAATACTTAATTTGTAAAATATCAGTCAATCGTCTCAAACTTTATTGTTCCTTCATTTCCACATCAATCATTCACTATTCTTATTCTCTTCTCATCAATCTTCTCAACCTTCTGTCGCTAGGCATTTCACTTTCGATTATTGATACATACTACTTACATCTATCGATATTAGTAACACATACAATAATACTTAATTAAAACTTTTCATTTTAAAGACGAGAATTCTGTTGATTTATTGGAAACTATGAGGATTGTATAAATATTTATTTAAACAATCATATAAACATAACAGTAAAAGATATGACTGGATGAAAAAGCAAAATTAAATTTTTAACTCATTTCAATTCTTGTTCATCATTACCATTTTTAATCGAATATGATGATTATTTGGTGTCATATTTATTTGATATTCAGTGTGTTATTTTATTTAGTCTAAAATTGGTTTGCTTCAGTGTGATGATTATTTAAAACATGAAATTTTATGCATTAAATTAACCTTAAAGTATGTTCAGCATGATATGCACCATACGGTTTTTTATGATCCTGGGTAGTTTTCATATATGTGACTTTTTTAATAAATAATAATTAATTGTGTGTACAAACTAATATATGACTAGGGTGTATCTTCAACAATAGTTGTTGTCAACTTTTCAGCGTGAATAAACCTGTAGTTGTACCAGTCTTTCCTGTTATTACTTCGTATCGTGGAAATTGTAATGGGTCCTTGTTTTAAGAATAAGCAATAAGTTTAGCCAGTGGACCTAATCCGTATCGGGTGTGAAGACGATGAAAGATAGCCGCGCAATGTCGTGGATTGGTTGAGGTTAGAAATTAACACTGTTGTTTGCTGACTCAGTGGTCTAGAATTTAGGCTTTCTCACGTGCGATCGAAGATCTTGTGTACGATTTTCGGTTATAGAGATTTGGACGCGCAGTGCTGAGGAGTCCCATATCAGGAAGAAACGGCCGTCCGGTTTCTCTAGGTCTTCTAAAATAGTCTAACTTAGATCGGTTCATGATTTTAATGTGATTCAACAATTTTCACAACATTATACTAAAAATAAACTATTGATTCAAGTAATCTTCTATGAATTTTATCGATTTCTCATTATTGCTGAGATATACAGTGTAACAATCTGAAACAATGCCTATTTTTCACTTCTCTTACATTATTTTGACTAACACCGATTGATATGTATGTTTGAACATGAATAATAAACAAAAGAACTCACTTCACGACTGATAAGATCCTGTATTGGTTTTTGTACCATAGTAGTAGCAATACTTGTCAGGTATACTGTTAAAGGAACTAAAGCCATTGTAACTTTAGGTAAACGTAATGAATGTAAAAGGTAAATTGTTAAATAAGCCTGAAAATTAAAAAAAAAGTTAACTCAATGTAAATGTACAAAAGGTTGACTAGTCTTCAATAATCCTTAACAAATTTCCACCCATTATTTAAATTAAGACATTAAAACCGACAAGCAATCGCAATAATACCAATTATACGGGAATACGTACAGCCGGGTACTACAACATATACGGATGATTGAAGAGCCTACCGATGCCTGCATAGACTTGGTTATGTATATCATTTCGTTGTCCACAAGCGCCATTTTGTGGACCCTACAACAGGAGGGCACTTTAACAATATTGACGCTATGTGGTCAAGGTTAAAGGAATTTTTATGACCTTATCATGGCCCGTGAGGTCGACTATTATGGAGCCATATGGATGAGTTCCTCTGCCGTATGCATTACGATTTCAGAACCTCTGAACCTCTTTCAAACCTTGATAAGTTTTTGAACCATGTAAAAGAAATATATCCACCTTAATTCTTTGGGTTTTTATGATAAACTTTACTTCATACTGTTTTCTGATTGGCTAATATTTCTCAAGGTCACTAATGATTCGTTCAAAGGTCGTCTATAAATTATGGTCTCGTCGCAATTTGTCGCGCAATTAAACCTATTATCAACAGATTTTACGGTAAGTTTAATACTGGTGGTCTATATTTTTCTAGCCTCGTTCAATATCGATTGTAGTCAACAAGTCACAATTTTCGACCAGAACTTTATGAAATCTATTTTGAAACTACTGAGTAATGTGAACATATTCAATATCCATACAGAGTGATTTCTTTTTTTGCAAAGATTGCGTTCTTAGAAATGAGTGGCCAAACCATGATACTTTCAGTGCTTCTAGACAAAATTCAAAGGACAAACTACAAACAGAAGTGAACTGTGAGAATTTCTCGACGAGTAATTGGTTACTTGTCCCGCTGACTTTGGACTTGATTAGCTTTAACATATCATTATCTGTACATTTACTTGGGTTGTTTTCCTCCTTGACCTGATTATTGGTCTTATAGTGATGATTTCTTTAAAATATCTTACTATTTGAAAGTTAGATTACAATGTTATCTTCATTGTCCTAACTTTCGACTAACATAAAGTTGCAAACATTCCCATTTTCCAATGAATATCAACTTGTGATTAAAATTGTTTTTCTAACGATTTACCTCCTTGATCATTTACTTATGAAGCATTTGTAAGAATTAAATGATTTGATTTATTAGAATACATGAGAAAAAATAAGTACTATTTCTATTTGCAGCTCTTACTATTACTATTATCACTATTATTAGTAGTTTGACAACTTCACTTATCTTGGAAGTTTGATCAGCCCTAATGGGTTGGTGTCTGACGAAGTCTGAGCACGGATTCGAAAATCTTGTTTGGCTTTTGCCAACTTACGTCACCTATGGCGAAGGCGAGATATCCGTCTATCAATTAAGGGGCGAGTAAACTGCGCGGCAGTCCGTTCTGTTTTAATTTACGACAGCAAAACATGGCCCTTAAGAGTAGAAGACACCCGTAAACTACTAGTATTTGACCACAGATGCCTTAGAAATATTGCTGGCGTCTGCTGGGATCACCGGGTAAGTAATAGTAAGGTTAGACGCAGGGTATTAGGGAATGATGGTAAATCAGTTGATGAGGTTGTGAATCTTCATCGACTGAGATGGTTGGGCCACGTGTTACGTATGCATGAACACCGATTACCACGACGTGCAATGCTAACCGGTGTTCGAGATGGTTGGAAGAAAGTTAGGGGTGGCCAAAACAAAACGTGGCATCAGTCCACAAAGTCACTAACTTCTAGTCTGAGCCATGTTGGTAGATGCGGATTACTTGGTTGTGGTCCGCGTGACTATCGTAACCAATGGTTGGAGACTCTTGGTGACATGGATCAGAATCGTTCACAATGGCATCGGTGTATATACTCTCCGTCTTCCCTTAAACTAAGAGATTAAAATTGCTTCATATCTTTCCTTCTACCAACTAATTCTTTCTTCCTGTACTATACGCAATCTTTCTTTTATTAATAACCACCTCTGAATTAACTACTTTTATGAATCCGGTGTTCATGTTGTTGTGTTAATGAGGTATGGCAACTTGGACCTATGAATATATGTGCCTGGTCCTACGTTGTAGCTGACTGACTGACTGACTGATTATTAGTAGTAGTAACATTTGTCCAGCTAAGTAAATGCATTATGATTATGAAACCTTCATTATCATACTAGACAATATTATCAGTGCTTAATTCATATAATTATCATTATCCTTAATGTTTTAATTTAAATTTTTCAACCTGAATCACCGATTTTACTAATATTGAAATGAGTTTTCTTATCTTAATGCTACAAGACAGTAATCTTGGTGTTTACCCTACATTTGTATACGAAATTCAATTGGAAATTTCACACATACTCGTTAAAGGTAAAAATTGATAGCAAATTGAGATCAGTTAAATACTGTAATTGTAAAACATTATTGTGAAATGTATTTCGTTTTTATTTGAAATTCTTTATATACAAACAGATATACACAGAATACCTCCAGGTTGGAATCACTACTTTTAGATTTCATGTTGAATGCGTCAACATTTTAAATTAAATGTGTAAAATTATTTATATAGAAAAAGTATTAATTTATTCTTCCAATGTCTACTTACCAGATTAATATAAAATGTGGGCCTGTTTTCGTAACTAAACTCTAATTATTCCAATATACGATGGTTGATAGCATAGGATCAGATTGAAAAACAGTTAATGATAACTAAACCAAGGCATAGTGGTGTGGCAACTAGAACTGATGTACGTACGTACGAAGTTACTAACTGAATGACATAGTACCATTAATTCATTGACTGTTAATCTGATGTATGCGTTTTTGAAATATGTAAAGTGACAACTTCAAATTTATGTGATAATTCCAATCAGTAGTTAGATATGCTAAGTGTTATGAGTCAAAATCAATGATTTCGATATAGATTCAGTTTGAATCATCGTGTATACTTTTTAATTTTGGTCGATTTCACTAGGGTTCTCTTTCCAACCTCGGTTTTTCTTTTTTTATAATATTTCCATACCAGAATGGGTTTTGTGGAGATTTTTAGAAATTTCACAGGTTGAAATCATGAGTCAATTGAAGCTAGTGTTTGAAGAAACTAACTTCTAGTCTGAGCCATGTTGGTAGATTCAGACTACTTGGTTGGGGTCCGCGTGACTATCGGAACCAATGATTGGAGACTCTTGGTGACATCCACGATCGTGCATTGGCACTGCTGAGGAGTCCCATACTAGAACAAAACGGCTTTGGAGTGCTTTCAGGTTTTCCATGGTGGTCTAGCTTCAATTGACTCATGATTTCAACCTGTGAAACTTTTTCATACATTGATTTTGACTTTTATACTGCTAATTTCCTCTTACATTGTACTGTCATGAATTATGAATAATTTTTATTTATTATTCAATACACCAGATACAAATTAGTATAGTTAATGTCGAGTCTAGTGATAATACTCGTTAACCTAAACTGAAGTAGATAAGGCGAGATATAAATCATAACTGTCAAGTCACAGTAACATTCTGAGCACCTTCAAACAATGTTATTTCAACTATGATTGACTAATCTCGTTCTGTACAAAGGACTGATGAAAAATGTTTTCTTCTTATAGATTCTAGTTCACTTTAGTTAATTCAGATAGAGAAATTCTTATATTCAAAAAAAAACATTAAATAAACTGTACTTGCCTGTGATACATTGACAATTAGTCTAACAAACATGTAGAAAAAGCCAAGAATCCAAAATAATGGTAAACGTAACCAATCTTTCCATGTAGTAATTATATAAGCAGGATGTTTTATCTGACTGACAGATTCATGATTAGGATTATCCACTTCATTGAATGAATTATGTAAAAGTGGTGAATAATTGTGCAAAAAAAAAACTATTTACCGGTCTTTTATTAACATTTAAACAAAAATTTTAACGTATCGATTTATATAATTGGGAAAATAAAACATTATTATCTTAAAACTTAATTCAACTCAGATCACACTTGAAATAAACATATCATTTGTTATCAGAAGAAGGGTTTTGTGGAAACTTTAGTAATTTAATAGTTGAATTCATGAGTCAATTGAAGCTAGACAACTATGAAATATCTGGAAACACTGGACGGCCATTTCATCACATTGTGAGAGTCTTCAGCAGTACGTATTCACGATCCCGCCAAGCAGGATTCGAACCTAGGACCTAGCGATCTCGTGTGCGAACGTGTAACCTCTAGACCACTGAGCCGGCCGGCGTTCAATGGTGTTAATGTTTAACTTCAAGCAATCCACGAAATTGCGCCACGATTCACTATTTGTAGTAAATTTTTGTAATCTAGTCTACGAAAATAAGATTGAGAAACATTGTATGTATTGTGAACTGAATAAAGTCACATTATTAGTTTGAGATTCAGTAGCTAATTAATATCGTAATAATCTTAAGTGATAAAGTTTATGGGTTCCATTCCATGAAATTATTTATTATGGAGTTTTGACCATAAAATTATCCTTTCTAGCTTTTTCCATTATAGTTCCTCAGGAGATTCTGATATACGATAAAAAATACTTCATTGTGATAACTTTTGTCAAATGAACGTTCTCTGTACACTTGATTGATTGATAATTAGTGAAAGATATCGTGATTTCTAGTTTGTAATACTGATTGAATTCTATTTGTTAAGTTTCAATGTGAGTGATGTAAGGTCTCATATACCGTGTTGAGATATTAGGTGATTGAAGGTAGTCAGCAATAAATCATATATCTAATTTTGGCAATTGTTGGTACTCGTTAGGGAACTATTAGTGACGCCAGAGATTACGAAGTTGGACGATCTGAGTTCGAATCCGACATTAGGTATCGATCTGCTTCAGTTTGCTGACGAGTAAACATATTACCACTGATGTGTAATATTCACGATATCTATCTCGACTTCTACAAACTAGGATGTTACTTGTAACCAAATAACACTAATAGATTTTAACGATCAAATATCGATTTTAAATCCTCGTTTCCAGCCTTAAAGTAGCGCTATTATTCATCATTATTAAGCAGTAGATTACAATACATTCAAACCCATAAACTCCACACATAACTTATACAGTTAAATAAGTGCTTTCACATTTATCGGTAATGGTATCTTTTTGTGATTGCCATGAGGTTCCTTCCAATGCACTGCTACATTAATACTGTATTATAAACTATACTATATTATATACAATGGATATCAACTAAAAGTATGGACGCCAATATATGAAAGTTCTAATTCATATGATAATATTGATTCATTTTACTTGAGTAAATAATACGTAATGAATAGACATACACAACACTAATTCGGTTTTAAGTAAAATCAATTGTAAATCAAGCTAGAAATATTAATCTAATTTCTTAAATACATTATAGTCACGCACGTAATTACTTGAAGAAGAATAGTAATGTAACAGACGAATTGTCTTCATTATTGCTCTCTCCCTCTCCACATATATATATATCGTCCTAGCTAAATAATTATTTATAGTTCAGCCAGGGACCAATCTTAGTCAAACAGTTGTTGGGAACTAGGAAGCACTGGATAGCTGTTTCGTCCCAGTGTAAGACTCCTCAATAGAGAACGTCCATAACTCCACCAAAGTGTTCTAAATAATGAAATTTCCGTAAATCCTTCAAAGAAATCATTACCTAATCAACAGACGCGACAAACCGAATATCAGTGCACAGCAATCTACAGTCAACGTTCACTGAATATAACGGAGACGATGATGTTACCAGTTATTTATTCATCAATCCACTTAAAACAGATATTTTATGTGAAAGAATGATCTCGTAGCCAGGAGTAGGCCACTAGATAAAAAAGTTCAATTGATTCTTCGATTTTTCGAAAAGAAAAACAGAAGTGAAGTTGTTTTGTGACCCATTTTCTCTGATAATCAACAAGTTGTTAGCTGATAAGTAATTAAGTCTAATTATCTTGGTAGCAGTTTTAATTCACCAATTTATGAAGTTACTTGGTCAATGATTATATCTCCAAAAAATAGACTCAAATTAGATATGGAGATCAGTTCTGCGGACATATTACCGGTCTAATCAGTATAGTCATTCACAGATTCTATGTAGTAAGTTTCTACACTATGACATTATGTATGAACGCACTATGAGCAGTGTGATGTGTTTCAAGCCACGGCTTATATTGATGTAGGTAATAGTGGTCAAATATAAAGTTAGGTGGAAAAAAGTGTTTAGTAGTAAAAATCATAAAATCAGTTTTGTTTATTCAACTTAAATATGGGATAATATGTCGTTCATCCAACTTGATACCGTCTAGTATAGAATAAAAATCTCGAATATTCATACTTACGGCTCTATTAAAAACAAAACAGTAAGTATTAATTCTTGTATTCAATTACTATATCTTAAGTAATAATGTCATGTAATAAATTAATGTTCACTTAGTTTCAACAGCACCATATTGTATACTACATACAACAAGGGCTAGAAATTATTGGGTTTGAAAAGCTAGGAAAGTTTGAAAGTGCAGATCGCTTTAAAACTCAAAACTATGGTGATATTAAATCACGATAACAATGATTCTCGTTACACTGTAGAAAATATCAACTACAATAGTTTCACTTCTGTACAACGGTCGTTTGAAACTTACTATTGATGTTTAGGACTGCAATCGATCAGTCTCTTTTGGCATATGTTCATCCTGTGCAGATTGTCTAAGTATGACCAATAATTCACGAGAATTTATTTTATTTTTTTAATTATAGACGGATGTTGGCTAGCAGTGGAGTTAAGAACGAGCATCTCGTCCTATTTGGGACTCATCAACTGAATGTACCTCCACTGTAGAGTTAATGTCCACCCCGGTACTCGAACCCACTCGATTGCTAACCACGATCCATCTCTGCTCTAAAAAATATAATTCTTTTTTCCTCAATATTCCATTTAAACTATATGGACAAATTACACAATCATATACATTCAAAACAATACTTACCAATAGTTATAGGTCTTACATTGTGAATAAAATATTTCTTTCTTACTCCAAAATGAAATAATAACATTGTTAATCCCCCAACACCAATAATTGTAAAACCTAATTTTTGAAAAGCTGGTATATCATCTTTACCAAAATCAATAATGGACGGTGAAGATAGTGAGGAATTTGAACATTTCGATAATGGATGTGAAGTCATTACCATAGGTAACATAATATATTCAACTTCATTGTAATTAAGCAGTTTTCTCAACGGTAACATATCATTCATTGAGTTTTTAATACTAGCATCATTACGAATGTTATTATTATTATTATCAACATGATGTTGATGTTGTAAAAGAAGAAATGTACTAATATAAACAAGTAGATTACTAAGAACTGTGAATAAATAACGTAGGGAAGTCAATAAAGTACGTTCACTAGATTCCATGGATAATTCATTGATTAATGCCAAGTGAGTAATCTGAACTGCAGCCCATCCAGCCTAAAAACAACCCCATAAACAATGGATTGATTAATTTTATGTTTTCTATGACCAAATACCGATTTTTTTTAAAAAGATAGTTGGTTATATTTCACGAGTATAACCCGAGGTTATTTGCAACACTTAATATGTCCAATAATTGTGTTATATATTAGTATAGGGTTGTTGTTCAGATTATTAGGTTTTTGATTGAGATCATGTTAGACACTATCACCATTGGATGCCGGCTCAGTGGTCTAGTAAGTTAAGTGTTCGCGCGCGAGACCGAAGGCCCTGGGTTCGAAGCCCGCGAGCGGGATCCTGGGTGCGCACTGCTGAGGGGTCTCACAATAGGATGAAACGGCCGTCCAGTGCTTCCAGGTTTTCAAAGGTGGTCTAACATCAATCGGTTCATGACCTCAATAAAAAAACTGCGTTATATCCAAAACTTTAAACGATTTTTCCGTTCATTTCATGGATGAGGGTTGAATGTTAGAGTGTGATTTTCATTGTAAAATTACTTACAAAATGATTATTTTGAAGTTTGAATTGCGTTTTTCTCGCGCTAAAGTCTCTAATAAAAACCAACCTTTTTGACTGCTATAAAAGAAGTTATTTTCATATCGTCCTGCGGACTTTTTAGTGTGCTATAATTTCACCTTATTCAGAGTATAGTTGCTTGAATAGTTTTACTTTGACTCTTATTAATAGTTCTTTCTTCGAAGGTACCCATTAACAGCAGCTGGTGACAGAAGAATAAAGGAGTTGTGCTATTCGCCTACTGAGCAGTACCATAATGTTATTTCCCTTATCTCACGACATCAAAACTAATACTATTCATACTGGTAAAATTTTTACAGAACGTCATTTATAGATAAATATACATTATCAAGTGACAAAGTATAAAACCTTGCAGTGAAATTTATGCTTCAAGCATAAACAGGTGAAGATTAAACGGCTTTACGACTAGAAGCGGAATCTAAGACACACACTTCATCTTATATGGGATTCGTCATTTGATTTACTTGCATCTCAGCATTGATGTTCACACTGGAATAGAGAGTCGATCATGGTTTGAACAGCTCAATAATAACTCCTCTAACCGTATAACTTATGCACTCAAAGCACTTAACCTTCTCTCATTTTACCAGTTTACATTAATAACCAAAAGTGATTAACTGCAAAATGACTGAAATAATATCGATATTTTCGAATAAATTTGAGATGAACAAATCACAGAAACTATTTTCATTCACTACAAAATTTGTCAACGAAATTTTTTTCTAAAAAAGCAGATAGTTTGAATAGAGTAATGACAAGGTTCAACTTGTAATTTAGTGTGACATATTTACAATTAGCTATTTCTATGTGGCTTAAAGCCCCATGCCATATATGAGGCTTGGTGAGACTGCTACCCAGTTGTCAAGATTCAATCAGTTTCGAACCAACATCCTTGTTGTTCAAAACCAAGTGTTTTATCCCTTAGGTAATTGTATCAGAGGTTAAGTGATAAATTATAAATCACGGGGAATTTCACATTTTTCGTAAAACTTGGACATACAACTAAGCGAAGTAAAAAAAAGAAAGGAATTTAAAGTCAACAATTAGTTTGATGGTATTTCATGAATTGGAAAATATTTGTATAGAATAACATCCTTACACAATCAATTGTGAAACGGTAGTATAAGGGTTTAAATATTTGGCTTTCAGCTGGTAAATTCATATCCCCCTTCACTTAATTTATCTAACAGGGTGGCATAGCTAGCCATCAAGCAACAGAAGTATAGCTCAAAATTGAGTACATAAAATTTGTATTTAACGCATCAGTAAATCAGTTATAAAACTAACAATTAAATAAAATATGAATAACTTACTTGAAAAATTGCCACTAATGGTAAATAATAAATCATTTTCGCCAGTGTACTAATATTGGATGAACCAAGTGGTGGACCAAATATTAAAGGAAATGAAAAAATAATTAATATACTTCCGCAAAGATGCCATATTTTACGACCAAATGGTCGAAATCTTCTTAGAACAGAGTTGAATCGTTGGAAAAAAGACGAATTATTATTATTACCAGTAGAATGAATAACATCAGAAGAGTCTGTAGACATGTAGTTTTTATTATGATTGGCTAAATGTTCATTAGAATCATGCAAACGATCATTGAAATTATTATGTGTAACTGATGATGATGCTGACAAAGAGTGGGAAGAAGAAGAAGATATTAACAACGGTACAGATGACTGAGATGAAAATCTGTCCGAAAGTAGACCAATTACTGGTGTCATCAAACCATCAACCAATTGGCCAACGAGTATTATTAAACCAGCCATACTTGTTGGTATACCAATGCCAAATTTAAAAAATACCAAAGTATATGTAAACCATACAGATGCGCACAAATCATTTAAAACATGTCCAATTGCATATGATAAACGTAAACGCCATGTTAATCCCATATTGAAATGAATTCAATCCTGAAATTATAAGCAAGCTGAAAAGGAAGGGAAGAAAAAGCATCGATGTATGTAAGCAGTCTTAATGGATTTATATTAGTAGTATAAGGGATTTGTTGAAGTTATTGAGTTTACATCACGAATTGATCTTAGTTAGACAATTACGGGAACCTAGGAAACACTAGATAGTTATTTCGTCCTTACACGGGACTCTTCACCAGTGGGCATTCACGGCTACGCTATCGATTTAACACAAAATCTTTAGATTTCGAGGAGAACGCTTAATCTTTAAACTACTCAGTCGGCATTCAATAGCTAACATGTTTAATCTTAACCAATTTTCGATATTATGTAATCATTTTCTAATAGATATTACAATAGTTTGCCATTACATGAGTACGAAAACTGGCAAAAAAATATCATACGTATTTCTGTTTGTAATCAACCAAAACGAAAATATAACCAATGACCTGATCTACATAATAAATACATGAAGTAACCCGAATTTAGTAATATAATGAGTTAAGTGAAAAAAAATTTGTTTTTAGAGATTTTTGTCTGGTTAGTTTTATCGTCGGTTGAAAACGATTAATCGACTAATCACATGAAATGTTTACTTGTTTTTTTCCATAATTCAGAAGCACATTTATATGGTATAATACTAATCGATATGATTGAAGCTTACACATTAATCATAACTGCTTCATAGTTAAATCAATGATCTAATTACCAGGAGTTTAATTTGTTTGACACATACTATCATTTAATGAACTAGCAGTAAAGATTGATTGATCACTTACAACATTAGATACCAATTAGCTAATAAGCTATACATGAAATATTTGCATAATATAAAAAGTACCGTTTGGCAGAACATAATCTTTAAAAAATAATAAAACACGTATACCAGGTTTCTAAAACTTTATTTCGTCAACTTTAGAGTAGATGAATGACCATCCCTTTAAAAATACAGCCCTTTTGTAAGAGTATGCTTATTCTCTCTATGATTTCTTTATTTAGTCAAACCTTGTAAGTCCTCCGAGGGTCAGGCTATTCATGATGCTTTGTCGATTTTTTGTAGCTGATATTTTTCTCAAACCTAAATGTTTAGTCAGAATCGTGTGCTTAAGCGATTTTCCAGAATTCAGTTCATCACCGATTATCGGAAGGTATAAGTTGTCTCATACATCCTGTTTTCAATAACAAAAGTCAGAGAATATTTTAACCTTGAGCTAACCTTACAGTTTTTACAGGACTCACTGAAATACTTGATACAATGAAGTTATTCCCTTGAATGGATTATCTCTGCAAACAAACATTAACGTCTCATGAACTGACAAGAGAACATTAGTATACTATAAGAACACTGGACAGCTGTCCTATGTGTTGAACACTGTTGGGGGATAACAAACTGCTATATCCTCGACTTTAATTATAATTCTACAGTTGATGTCATTCTAGAATAAATGGTTATTTAATACAACAAAGAAATAATTAAATTTCGATGTTGAAACTGGTGAAACATGAAAAATTCCAATCATAATAACAAAACAAAAGATAGTAAAAATTCAAACAAACTGAATACATAGTGTCATTTAATCCTATCCAAACAGTTACTACTTTTCATAGATGGCTTTTATCGTACACAGATATCGGTCTGAAAAGTAATAAAAATTCAGGAAGTGATCAAAATTCAGCTAGTCCCAATCTGAGTGTTTCGGCAGTTTACAATTGATTAATCACTGAGTACTGAACAATATCATGTTTTTGTTTAGTCCTTTAGTACTGACTCAATGATATCGATTAAGCTGGAATGTAGTCACTTGTCTGAATGACTTGACATTCTATACCCTAATAGCTCAGAGGCAACAGTTGACTATGAACCAGAGTGACGCATGTACGAGTAAAACAATTTCGTCAAGATTTCACTTAAGCCTTACTGGGGTGTGCCGACTAGCAGAAAGCATAAATCAATATCTCCCAACGACTACCTCCAATCACTCTAACGTTTACCAATTCTAAATTTATCTATATTAACATAAAGCTATTACAAATGTTTCATAGATGCTGTTAGTAATCTTCTATTGTACTATATAGAAATCGTTTCAGAATATATACAGTATACTATAAACAGTGGTTTGTTTTTGATATTGTTGTCAACTTTAACGACTTTAATTAATTGCTCTCTATTAGGATATGTTCATCCTGTGAGTATTGTCTTGATGTTCTTATTTCATCACATGATTTCATTTCATTCGGTTAGTAATATACCTGTATAACAATCTAATAGCCATTCGAACTCAATAGCTTAGGGGATAATGAATCAATATTTGAAACGTAAGTTAATAAATTAAATTCTCAAAGTAAAAATCAACAAACAGATGTATATACAGCTAAGTGACAAGTTATAGTTAGGATGAAACACAACTCTTGAATTCTATTATTACTCACAATCAAATTATAATTTATTTATGTTTTAGTAAAATTAATTTTAAGCATGAATATCTAATTGAAGGCGCGGATCGGCAAAGCAAGAGCAGCATATCTACAACTGAAGAACATCTGGAACTCAAAACAACTGTCAACCAACACCAAGGTCAGAATTTTCAGTAGAACTGTCTTGACATTTGTATCCAGAAAATACAAGTGTTTATTAACAGTTGTCTACGCAAAACACTTCAGATCCGTTGGCCAGAAACTATTAGCAACAACCTACTGTGGGAGAGAACAAACCAAATCCCAGCGGAGAAAGAAATCAGGAAGAAGCGCTGGAAGTCGATAGATCATACATTGGCGAAAGCACTCAACTATGTCACAAGGCAAGCCCTCACATGGAATCCTCAAGGCCAAAGGAGAAGAGGAAGACCAAAGAACACATTACGTCGAGAAATGGAGACAGACATGAAAAAAAATGAACAAAAATTGGACAAAACTGAAAAGGAAGGCCCAGGGACAGAGTGAGTTGGAGAATGCTGGTCGGCATCCTATGCTCCATTGGGAGTAACAGGCGTAAGTAAGTAAATAAGTATCTAATTAATACTGGTAAGAGATTGAACAGTTGATAGTTTATATTATTGTTGAGAATAGAACATAGAAATTCTTACATTTACTAACTTTAATCCAATACAACAATAACGTTTTCAGTTAATGTTGTAATAGCTTCCCATGTTCCTTATACTGTGATAGATTTGAATAACATACAGATTTCTTATATGTATATTCGTTTGTTCACTTTTTTCTAAGTTAAAAACTACCGTATAGTGATTCATTACATTTTATACTGTAATTATAAATGTTTTAGTCTATTCTTATTTGTTAAATAACTTCCTGTTTATATTAAAATTGAAGTGATACATTATACATTATTGAATATTATAAATTTAATAATTAAAGGTAATTATAGATAATTAGAGATGTGGGATTATATTGTGATTATAATTCCGGTTAGTTATCGTGTAGTTAATTCACCAATCAAAATATGACTTGCATTGTATTAAACCAATGACGTTCAACCGGTCTGATCAGCCTAATGTCCTCATTAGTCCTTTACGAGCCTAGCCCATCAAATTGAGTTCAACACATCGATAACAGTTCCTGTTATGAGAATCATTTATTTCAAATATACTTGGTTTATATATCAACCAAACAGACGGTATCGCACCACAAAATAGGAAATAACATTTATACAAGATCATGCCAAAAAGTTGTTGTGAACGTGGGAGATTGTAATTAATAAACTGAACATAACTTAAGAACAGTAAATCGTATAATGATAAATTCTAGGTATAAATGAAGCTTATAATAAGGGAAATATAAATATACATAGTCGAATTACTATAAAGAATATATAGATAACATTAGTCCGCTATTAGCTCTCAGAAGCTACTCGTAATTTAACCTTCGCTAGGATATAGCATATTATGCTATATTAACATAAAATGGTTGTAATTAGTAGATTGAAACAAATGAACTATGATTCCATAAAAAACTCGAATGAGATTATGCTTTTTGAAAGAATGTTTAGATTTATTAGAAAACAGAAATTAGTAAATGGTTGTTTTGCTCTAGTCTATAAAACTTTTTAGTAGTAAACACACACATATGAGACCTTATTTTGTGTCAAACTCAAATACTTCTAAATTTTACAACGAACATGATATCAATTAGTCAGTGATATTGGAAGCTAAAAGTTTAAACACGTTTGACTTCAGTTATTTTACAATTATATACTAATTTCATTCAATATTACTTATAAATGACAATAGTACTTGTATGGTGTGTGCTACTTATATTGACATAAGTAGTATATGATGTTAGTCGTGAACAGAAGGTCTGGCAGCAAAGAGGCAAGAGGATCGAACAGTAAAGAATAGAAACAAAGTGCAATCTGTATGAATATGCAAGAACAATGAAGTCTGAGTTATTTTAAGACAATTGGTGGACATTTTGCAAATTAAGCATTTACTTTATGATTGTTAGATTTTATCAACAAGTCCTGTAATTTTTTGTTAAATACATTCGATTGTCCCCACCCATGTTCTGTTCCCTACACTAGCATCGACTTGTGTAAACTCGCAGATCATAGTGTTCTATTAAAAATGTTGGGAACCCTTCTCAAAATACTAATCATGTGCTCTCAGATCGCTACTAGATTTTCCAAATGATATAATTTCGTGGTCAGAAACATCTACAAATTGAATTAACCTCTAAAAGCATAACAGTTAAATAACCAATAGTTTTTATCAAATCTTCCATTGTTCAAAATTAGTAGATGGTTACTAACAAGTGTGCATATTCAATCTTGTATAAATAGTATTTACATAATTGTTAACGTGAAATATATAACCACTAATCAATGTAAGAGCTTACTAATGATTTTATGAATAACATTAAATGGCTAATAATAAAAAGTAACTTTAATTATGTTTAAGAGAAAAGAAATTATTTGCTAAATGAGTCAAGCGACGACATAGACGCTTCAGTGAAATGTATCGTTTATTTCCCGTACAACACTTTAAAGGTTATTAACAGGTTGTTTGTATGAAATATTTATTTAATTAGTTAAGGATGCATGATCACTATGGGCTAGAATATATGACAATCGTTAGTATCTATTTTAAACATCCAAGTCTTACATGAAGCCAATGTTTGTACAAACACTCCCATGGTAAAGTCTATAACTATGAGACTGGATGATGCATTTTTGATTACCATAGATAACATCAGTTTTCTCAAGTTTGAAGGTTCGCTATTACTGATAATTACCAGTTGACAAGAAACATAAGTCAAAAATTTCTACCAATAAGCTCTAATCACTTTATATTAAACAAAGTGCACTATGATTTCAATTCAATTAACCTGTGGTCCCGTTACACCATGACTGATAGGAGACATCTGTCAGTTTTAAAAATTAGACAAGATTACAGAGTAATCAATCAGTTTCAAAATGATTATCTGTGAACTCACCATAATCAATAAACTTCTGGAGATCGTGCAGTGCAATACTTCCATATTAGCAAGTTCACAAAGTACTTAATTCAACCTATATAAGTATATTAACAGTAGTCACTTGTAATCATTCAATGTCCTGTATATATCAGTTTAATTAATTCCGTCAGTCGTAAGCTCGGGTAAACGAAGGGGGTTGGCCATGGATTAAGCAACCCCATCACGTAGAAAACAACTTTTCTACAAACATTTTAAACCGTTCAAATCCTGACCTCTAGTTGAAGGATCTTCATTCAGAAGAATTATGACTCCTTAAGGAAATGAGGAGGTACAACTTGAGGGTGATCGAAATCAATGAAACAAATTGGACCCAAGCTGAATAAAAAAGGATAGATTCGGAAGGGATGATGCTGTACTTTGGTCATGAAGAAGAAAATGCTCCGCACACTCAAAGACTTGCTCTGATGTTGTCCACAGAAGCACGTAATGCGCTTATAGGATAGGAATCTCATGGATCTATAATAATCAAAACATCATTCAGAACAAAGAAGGGGGACCACAATGAATGTTATCCTATGTTATGCACCAACTAGTAAAAGCAATGAAGACGATGAAGAACAGTTTTATGAAAGGCTGAAATTGATCATAGCGTAGTGATCAGGAAAGGACAAGACCATCCTAATAGGAGACCTAAACGCCAAAGTCGGGATAGACAAAAACGGTTATGAAGATATAGTGGGACGACATGGACTGAGAGAAAGAAATGAGAGTTGCGACAGATTCACAAATTTATGTTTTTAAAAAAATGGTTATAGATGGCACTATATTCCTCAACAAAAGCATACACAAAGCTAGATGGGTCTCACAGTGTCACACTACAAAGAACCAGATAGATCATATATGCATCAGTAAAAAAATTCATTAGGTCATCGGAAGACGAGAGAATAAGGAGAGGAACTAGCATAGCTTCAGATCATCACCTGGTTGTGCCTGAAATGAAACCAAAGCTGAAGAAGTACTGGACAACTAGGAGAGCAGCATTACAAAGATTCAATAGAGCCTTCCTTTGAAATACAAGCTCAACGGATTCAGGATAACTCTCAACAAAAGGTTCCAAGCATCACATGATGTACGGGAAAAAGAGGAATCTGCTATGAAGGACAACTGGGGGGAATCAAACAACAACTAACTCCAACGTACCACGAGGTTCTGGGCTTCAGGGGCATCATCATAAGGAATGGATCTCTGTTGAAACCCGGGGAAAGATTTAAGAAGGGAAGAATACGAAGAAAGCAATCAAAAACAACCGAAAAAGAGCAGAGAAAGTCAAGACACAAGCCAAATGCACTGAAACGAACAAACGAGTCAAAAAGAGCATTAGGGCCGACATGTAGAAATACCTGAAAGGGCCGGCAATGACAGCCGAAAACGCTTCAATAAAAGGAAATATGAAACATCTATATAATACGAAGATGAAACTAGCAGAGAGGTATTATAAACCAGAGAAATCAGTCAAGAACGGGGAACGAAAGACAATCACTGATATTCAAGAACAAAGAAGCAGATGTGTAGAATACTTCGAGGCCTCCTTAAAAGATCAGCCACATTGAATCCAGTGGATATCTAGGCAGCACACACAGACCTTCCTATAGATGTCACTCCACTGACGATTAAAGAAATCTGGATGACCGTCAGACAAATCAAGTGTTGGAAAGCGGTTGGACCTGACAATATTCTAGCCAAAACACTGAAATCACACATACAAGTAACTGCGAAGATATGTAATGGCATTAGGTCCTAGCCACAAAATCCTCAAGCTTGAACACGAGACAACTTAGAAAATAGATATTCAGCATTTAACACGGAGAAAAACACAAGGATGGAGAAGGAGGGAAGAATAAATTCAATTAATTGATCAATCGGATGGCTTTGCTCGGCCTTGCAGGCGTGGTCACTCTTGGGTGTTGTCTTATATCTTTTATTGATATTAAATATATTGTTCTATCTCTAGCCTAAGCTTGTTCTTCATCATATATTGATGATTGCTACTATGCGATGAGTTGGTGTAGACAATGACGTGAATTCCAAGTAAGATCTTATAGATTAGGCAGTTACATCATGACAAATCTACAATTTTAGGATTAGATCTATTATTAGAGCAGTAGCAATATCGAAGTAGACCATAATTTCACAGATACTCCACGTCCTACTCAGGAAGATTCGGGAGATGGAACAAGTTCCGACAAGTTGAAAAGAAGTGTATCTCATTAAGATACCAAAGAAAGGAAAGCTGAGCAAGTGTGAGAACTATTGAGGCACCACACTACTGCCAGTACCAGCAAAAGTTTTCAACAGATTGATACTGAAACACATGAAAGATTCAGTAGACTCCCAACATCGAGATCAACAGACCGGACTCCGTAAGAATCGATCGCGCACAAACCAAATCGCCACACTACGGATCATCGTTGAACAATTAATTGAATGGGGTTCGTCACTATGCATTAACGTCCATGAATATGAGAAAGCGTTTGATAGTGTGGATAGGAGAACCTTATGGAACCTTTTTTGACACTCTGATGTACCTAAGATGCTCGTCGACATCACACGGAATTCATACGACGTATTACAAAACAAAGTCATACATGGAGGACAGCTGACAGACTCATTCCAAGTGAGAACTCGAGTTAGACAAGGCTGCTTACTCTCTCCCATTTTTCTTTTTCCTGGTGGTTGACTGGATTATGAGGACCTCCACATATGAGGGGAAGCACGGAATACAATGAACAGCTCGGAATCAATTGTATTTGGACTTTGCAGATTACCTAGCCCTTCTATCCTATACACATGG